AGGAGAACGCTTCAATCTCTTTGGTCACTCGATTACAGACCTAAAAGTGGCAATTCTTCAACAAAAAAACTTCAAAAACAGACTTCAAGAGAGACTGCTGAATTGGGATTAATTTGAAAACTGGATACAATTAACTTAGACTTGAATAAAGACTGGGAGTGGATGTGTCATTACACAAAGTAAAACTATTTCCGCTTGTTTATTTCCCCTCTTACTGTTCTTGTAAAGTGCTGGAAATGGCCCACCTTGATTATCAGTACAAAATGTGTTTTCCCCCGCCCCCCGCTCTCCTGCTGGTAATAGCTCACCTTTCTTGATCACTCTTGTTACAGTGTGTATGGTAACACCCATTGTTTCATGTTCTCTGTGTATATAAAATCTCCCCACTATATTTTCCACTGTATGCATCCAATGAAGTGAGCTGTAGCTCACGAAAGCTTATGCTCTAATAAATTTGTTAGTCTCTAAGGTGCCACAAGTCCTCCTTTTCTTTCTTTTATGTTTGAAGATTGAATGTTCATTTGCAGCTAATGATATTAACATTCTAAATATGGTACTTAAATTTAAACACCTATAAGGAAAAGTAGTACTGCAGTTAACTTTCAAACCCAACTAGGAAAAATATTGATACACGTTTGGACTCAAAATAGCTAAGCCAAATTTTTGGGGTCTTGCAGGTGGTTCAGTTAGGGGGAAAAATTGGTGATAGATATTTCTTTGATGCAATTTTTGTTAATTTGCAAAGAATGTACAAACTCTTGTTTCCCTGAACACTGTAAAAAACAAACAAGAGACAGCTCCTTCATTTGCTGTGACAAGCCCACCTTTCCAGCCAGCACTCTATACCCAAAAAGCCTTTTCTCTTAGCTTTCTCTCAGTAAAGCTTTCTTACCAGCCTTTTGTTACTGTCTTCTTGGCTTTCTCTCAGACAGACTCCCCTGCCTCAAAACAGTTCCACCAATCAAACCCATAGGGCCACATGGACATTCTGAGCAAAAGCTGATCATGTACCTATATTTTGGGTGCTAATGCTATTGTTTCAGCCATCTGGTTACAGTGGCTTCTTTACATTTATCCTATATGTAAGGTGGGGCCATGCCCAACCCATAACTACACAGTTTAACTCAACAAGTCCATTTACTGAAAAGCTGATTCCACTTTGATAGCTATTTCTGTTTCTAAGGAAAGTGAATTTCCTCAGAGGGTGAAGTTCTTTAACTTCACCAAAGGTATAGTGCAGGCATTTTTTTTTCACAGCACTAACAGCATGCCTCAACCCAAATCAGCCACCCAGAAGTTCACTCTGTGCCTGTTGAGTTCTTGACCTCTCTGTACAGTTAAGATTTCAGTTTGTGCTGTGGGGGGGGGTGGGGGGGGGGGAGGGGGGTGTTGTTTGTCTCATTTTTCAGCATCACTTAACCCCCTACAGCTGTCCCTGAGTAATAACCTGATAACCGCTAAAGTGGCTGAATTCAAACCAGTCCCAATAAGCCATCCAAACCCCTGGCTAGTTTAGTAACAATATGAATATAAATCTTATACCTGCACCTTATATTGATGCATTGTCTGTAAGACTGTGACTGCTCCCCAATTATGTTGTTTCAGGAATGTCTTTTTATTGCCATGGAAAAGCTGAATGGATATACAGTTTCTTTGGGGAGAAAGGCTGTGATTAATTTTTTTTAAAAAAGTCCATGCTGTCTAGGAATTTTTTTTTAAAAGCTTAATCTTAAACTTAAAAAAAACTAAATACTTCCTGAAAATTCCTGTTAGGGTTAGAATTTGTAATTTTTTTTCTTATACTACCTATATTTAAGGCCTAAATTTCATGAAAATATACTGTTAATAGGTAAGCATGTGTATCTGGGATAAGTTTCACATTAATCATAGGGTTTTATTGGCCCAGTTTATGCTTTTGGGTGACACGTCTGTCTGAATGTGGGGTAACAGCTTTGTTTGTCTGCATGCCTCTGATGCAGCGTCATTTGCTGACACATCAGTGAATGAACGAGGAGACTCATGAAGGTTGCTGTCACAATCTGATTTGTGAGCTATTCATAGAACAGTACCCAGAAGAACTCTCAGTAATTTTGCAATTATACAAAATGGTACCCAAACAAAAAAAGTATAGTTAATGGAAATGATGATCAGGCTAACATACACTTTCTGGTGAGAGAATGACCGTAATGGAAGAAACAATGAAATTAGTGCTGGTCAAATTTGCAGATGACACAAAAGTTGGTGGAATTGTGGATGAGTCGGGTCTACTGCCTAATCAAGATCACTTGCTAACATGAGCTGATATGAATAACACACGATTTAACACAGCAAAATGAAAGGTCATACATCTAGGAACATAGAAGGGAGGTCACATTTATAAGACGGGACTGTGTCCTGGAATACACTGACTGTCAAAAGGACTTACTTTAGGAGTCACAGCAGCTAACCAACTGAACATGACCTCTCAGAGCTATGCTGTAGCTAAGAAAGTCAATAACAATCCATGGCTGTATAAGCAGGGGAATATTAAGAGTAGAGAGGTGATATTACCTCTGTATACAGCATTACTGAGACCCTTACTAGAATATTGTGTCAGTTCTGCAGTCCAAATGTCAAAAAGGATGTTGAAAACTGGAAAAGGTTCAGAAAAGAACTACAAGAAGTTGAGAAAACATGAGTTATAGTGAGAGATTTAAGAAGCCCAATCTATTTAGTTTGTGTAAGAGAAGGTTAATAGGTGACTTGATCATGATACACTACACACACTATATGGGGAAGAGATTTCTGAGAGGAGATGACTCTTTAAACTAGCAGAAGACATGATGAGACCCAGTGGTTGGAAGCTGAAGCTCAGAAAATTCAGACTATTTAGGTGCACATTTTTTAATGGAACAACTACTTAGAGCAGAGGTGGGCAAACTATGGCCTGCAGGACTGTCCTGCCCAGCCCTTGAACTCCTGGCCGGGGAAGGTAGTGTCTGACCCCACCCCTGCTGTCCCCCTCCCCCGCAGTTACACCGCCGCGCAGGCAGCGTGGCTGGCTCCATCAGGGCAGCGGGGCTGCGAGCTCCTGCCGCTCTGAGCAGCAGGGTAAGGGGGTGGTGCGGGGCGGCGACATTGGGTAGGGGGTCCCGGGGGGGAGGCAGTCAGGGGACAGGGAACAGAGGGCGGTTGGATGGGGTGGAGGTTCTGGGGCGGGGCGGTCAGGGGTCATGGAACAGGGGTTGGATAGGGTGTGGGAGTACTGGGGGGCCTGTCAGGGGGCGGGGGTGTGGATAGGGGTCAGGGGGACAAGGAGCAGGGGGGGTTGGATAGGTGTGGGAGACCCGGGGAGCCTGTCAGGGGACATGGGTGTGGATAGGAGTCGGGGTAGTCAGGGGACAGGGAGCGGTGGATGGGGGTGGGGGATGCTGGGAGGGAGTGGTCAGGGGACAAGGAGTGGGGGGTGGAGGGTTGGATAGGTCGGAGGGGGGCAGTCAGGAGGCGGGAAGTGGTGGGGGCGGCTAGGGGGCGGGGGCCAGGCTGTTTGGGGAGCACAGACTTCCCTATCTGGCCCTCCATACAGTTTCACACCCCAGTGTGGCCCTCGGGCCAAAAAGTTTGCCCACCCCTGATCTAGAGAGTCTAGTCAAGAGTGGATATTTTTTAAAGGATATTCTATTGTTCAAACAGAAGATATGGGCTTGATACAAAAATTATTGGATGAGGTTCTTTGACCTGCGTTATGCCATGTGTTTGTGTGTAGCTGCTCTGGTGTGAGAGGACTCAGGAACTCCCCAGGGGCCAGTGTCTGTGTGTGACTGGCAGGGTGCCAGGGGCCAGGTTTGTGTGTTGCTGGCTGGATGTGAGGGGCTCAAGGACTCCCCAGAGGCCAGGTTTGTGGGTAGCTGGCGGAATGTGAGGGGCTTGGCTCAGGGACTCCTCAGGGATTGGGTTAGTGTGTAACTTGAAAGGAGTAAGGTCTCAGGGACCCCGGCAGCCAGGTCTGTGTACCTGGCAGGGTGCAAGGGGCTTGGGGATTCCCCAGGGGTCAGATTTGTGTGTAGCTGGCGGGATATGAGGGGTTCCGGGACTCTCCTCGGGGCCAGGTTTGTATGTAGCTGACAAGGTACTAGGGGCTCGGGGACTCCCCAGGGGTTTGTGTGTAGCTGGCAGGATGCGAGGGGCTGGGGACTCCCCAGGGAGCCAGATTTGTGTGTAGCTGACGGGGTACAAGGGGCTCGGGGACTCCCCGGAGGCCAGGGTTGTGTGTAGTTGGCGGGGTGCGAGAGGACTCCCTGGGGGCCAGGCTTCTGTGTAGCTGACGGAGTACAAGGGGCTCGGGGACTCCCCAAGGGCCAGGTTTGTGTGTAGCTGGCAGGGTGCGAGGGGACTCCCCAGGGACCAGGTTTGTGTGTAGCTGATGGTGTACGAGGGGCTCAGGGACTCCCCAGAGGCCAGGTTTGTGTGTAGCTGGCGGGGTGCGAGGGGACTCCCCAGGAGCCAGGTTTGTGTGTAGCTGGCGGGGTGCAAGGGGCTTGGGGACTCCCCCGGGAGCCACATTTGTGTGTAGCTGGTGGGGTACGAGGGGCTCGGGGACTCCCCGGTGGCCAGGTTTGTGTGTAGCTGGCGGGGTGCGAGGGGCTCGGGGACTCCCCGGTGGCCAGGTTTGTGTGTAGCTGGCGGGGTGCGAGGGGACTCCCTTGGCAGCCAGGTTTATGTGTAGCGGCGGGGTACGAGGGGCTCAGGGACTCCCCCCCGGTGGCCAGGTTTGTGTGTAGCTGGCGGAGTCTTCGCACAAATGAGACGAGACCAAGGGCGCCTGGAAGTGGAAGCAGCCAAGTTCAGACGCCCCGTGCGGCTAGTGCTGGCGTGGCGTGTGGCGGTGCGGGTGGCGGTGGCGGTGGCGGACCATCAGTGCACGGGAGCCGCGGACACTTAACATTCGCCTGGACACAACATGTCATTCGAGCGCCGCCGCTATCCCGAGTGCCTTTGCTGCCTTGTACACGTCCTTGTAGTCGTGACGCCGCTCTAGCCTCACGCAGCGATTCTCTATGGTTAAGCAGGTTGAGTCTTTGTGGGCTCGGAGGTGTCATGGCGTCCGTCGAGGTGGCAGAGCCTGAAGCTGCCGGGAGGAGCCGCTGACGCCGCTCTCCGAGCCGGGGAGGGAGTAATGGTCGGGGCGCTGGGACTCTTTCTCTAGGCTTCAGCCGGAGCCCGGTCTTTCCTGAGCGTGCGAGCCGGGCGGGGTGGCAAGAGCCGGCTCTCCGAGCCCAGGCTGCCCAGCCCCCGGGGGAGATAGCGAGCCGGGGCTGAGCTGTTCTGGGGTCCAACGCCACCCCTGGTGTGGGTGCTGCCTCGGGGAGGCCTTTAGCCAGCGCTGAGGACAGTTGGGGCCCGTTGAGCAGCAGCAGCAGTAGAGATGGCCTCCTGGTTAGGGGGCCTGGGCTCGGGGCTGGGCCAGTCCCTGGGGCAGGTGGGGGGCAGCTTGTCCTCCCTTACCGGCCAGATCTCCAGCTTCACCAAAGACATCCTGCTGGAGGGCACCGAGGAAGTGGGAGGTAAGTACGAGGGGTGGGGAGGAGTTGCTGCGGCCACGGGGGTGCCAGCCCTCTGCGATTAGTGTGGGATCGGGCGGCACTGAGTGCTGGGGAAAGGTTGTCAGCTCTGTGGGCTGTGATGCTTTCTATATGTGTGTTTAGTACCATGTACTCATCTGGTAGCACGTTAATGATAATTAATAACTAAGATGTAGCATTTTTTTAAAGTGGGAAACAGCTTATTTAGGACTGTGCCCAGCTAGACCACCTGAATTTAGAAATAAACATGACTGAGCTTTTAAGAGTCTTACTGGAATATACCAGTTTAACAAGAGAATTGCTACCTTCATTTTCCCTTTTTAAACAATAATAAAGAGAAATAAAATGTTTAGTGGTAGTGGAGTTTGTTGTTACACCTGTTGGATTTGGTGTGGGGTAGCATTAACACTGGTGATCAGAACAACCAAAATTTTGCTGTAACAAATTACTTCTGTGTTTTTTTCCGGAAGGGCCATATGCTTGCTCTCTCTCTTTCCTCTCAAGGTCTTATTGTGTGCACACCACACTATCTGGGCTCTGTGGAGAGTAAACTTAGCAAAGCAAACTATGTATAGTATAAACTTATTTAGAGGTATATTGGCATGTAGTCTTATTTTTGTTGTCCTGAAGTGCTGGAATTGCGCTAGGGTACTCTGTTGATCAGGTTTGAAAGCATATCAAACTTGTCTTTAGCTTATTATGTTCATTCAGTTTATCTACAGCTTGGTTTAATCTGTTCCATTTAGAATGGGGGAGGCTTTCTAAAACTGCAAACAAATTGCTAGTTCCATATTTTCCACATATGTATGTGATTGTAAGTCTGACGTGTCATCCAGGCAAGGCTTTAATATAATTGAAACTTTTCTTATTTATATTACAGTAGTGCCCAAAGAATCCAGTCAAGATCGGAGCCCATTGAATAAGTACAACAAAATAGGAAAACACAGTCCTTGTCTGAAAGAGCTTTCAGTCTAAAATGATAAAAAGAGGCAAAGGGGGAAAAAAGGGATGCACTGTACAAGGAAAGTGATCAATTCAGTGACAGTCATACACAGTGTTAATTCTATGTCTGTTTTAGTATTGGTGTCTAATTTTTCCAAGGCATTTAAGCTTTTTAAATTAAACGTTGGACTTTGCCTGTTATAGCTATCTGCATAACATTGTGAAAATATACATACGTTAATATAGTTAACATAATTTTACATCTGAAAATTATGGCTTTGTTAGAGAAATACTCTTTAATTGAAGTCTTTGTGATTTTAATGGTTGTGTCATTACCAATAGTAGGCTCAGAATTTGGAATTAAATAACAATTTCACAAGTTTGATGTTATGAAGTGGGTAATCAGCAAAGTAGGTCTCTCTGGTCACGCAATCACAGACATGAAGGTCGCTATCTTAAAACAAAAAAACTTCAAATCCAGACTCCAGTGAGAAACTGCTGAATTGGAATTCATTTGCAAATTGGATACTATTAATTTAGGCTTAAATAGAGACTGGGAGTGGCTAAGTCATTATGCAAGGTAGCCTATTTCCCCTTGTTTTTTCCTACTCCCCCCTCCCCCCCGATGTTCTGGTTAAACTTGGATTTAAACTTGGAGAGTTTTTTTTTGGATGAGCTATTGCCAGCAGGAGAGTGAGTTTGTGTGTGTGTCCCCGGGAAAAAAAAAGAGGGGGGGGTGAGAAGGCCCACCTTGATTATCATGCACATTGTAGGGAGAGTGGTCACTTTGGATGAGCTATTACCAGCAGGAGAGTGAGTTTGTGTGTGTGGTTTTTGGAGGGGGGGTGAGGGGGTGAGAGAGCCTGGATTTGTGCTGGACATGGCCCACCTTGATTATCATGCACATTGTAGGGAGAGTGGTCACTTTGGATGGGCTATTACCAGCAGGAGAGTGAGTTTGTGTGTGGGGGGGTGGAGGGTGAGAAAACCTGGATTTGTGCTGGAAATGCGCCCAACTTGATGATCACTTTAGATAAGCTATTACCAGCAGGACAGTGGGGTGGGAGGAGGTATTGTTTCATGATCTCTGTGTGTATATAATGTCTGCTGCAGTTTCCACGGTATGTATCCGATGAAGTGAGCTGTAGCTCACGAAAGCTCATGCTCAGATAAATTGGTTAGTCTCTAAGGTGCCACAAGTACTCCTTTTCTTTTTGCGAATACAGACTAACACGGCTGTTACTCTGAAACCAGCAAAGTAGGAATTCTCTACAGGTAGGCTGTTCCAATATTAAGTGGGATAAAGATATTTTGGTTACAGAACTGCCTATATAAAAATGCTTCAAAAGAGAGAGGAGTTTGTTCTGATGGCTGCAATGTACTCTGAGAAAAGATTGTCCATTTCCCTCTACTCTGAAAGATCTACAGTTTTAGATTTAATAATTTTTAAAATTCCCAAGCTTATATTACAGTACAAGCTTTGTTATCTGGCATGTTGGGGGAATGCGGTGGGGGGGGTGTGCCAGTAAGTCAAAAATTCAGGTTAACTAAGAGGGAGAGAGTTTGGATGTGGGAGGGGGCTCAGGACTAGGGGTTGGGTACGGGAGGGGGTACGGGGTGCTGGATCTGGGCGGCGCTTACCTCAGATGGCTCCCCGCAAGCAGCGACATGTCCCTGCTGCTCCTAGGTGGAGGTGTGGCTAGGTGGCTCTGCATGCTGCATCTGCGTGTTGCTTCTGCCTGCAGGCGTCGACCCCACAGTTCCTGTTGTGCAGAGCCAGCACGTGGGGCAGCGCACAGAGCCGCCTATCCATAGCAGCAGGGACATGTCGCTGCTTGTGGGGAGTCGCTGCTTGTGGGGAGTCGCCCGAGCGCTGTCCAGATCCAGCACCCCACACTTCTTCCCGTGACCCCATACCCTCCCCCAAGTCCTCTCCCACACCCAAACTCCATCCCAGAGTCTGCGTCCCTTCCCACATTCTGAACCCCTCGTGGCCGTTTCTCCACCTAGGAGCAGCAGGGACATGTTGCCGCTTCCGGGGAGCCACGTGGAGCCAGATAGGGAGCCTGCTGGCCCCACGCCAACCAGATTATAAACCGGATTTTCAATGAGGATCAGAAATGCCAGTTTATAGAGCTTTCCAGTTGGTAAATTGCCAGATAACACAGCTCTTACTGTAATTTGGTTTTGAACCATATTTCACTTAAATGGATGCATCATCATGGACCATTCTTCTGTTACCTGGAAGTAGTACTAAGGGAGATGCAGGATTCAAACTTTCTTTGACTAAAGAGTTGACAATTCTTTTACTATGTTTGAATGCTGTCTGTAGTGATGTCAGTGTGTGTTGCTGTTGCTCCTCTTCTTCTGCCCAGTGATGCCTTTGGAAATGTGGTGTTTCAGCTCAGTGTGAATTCTTTCCATAAATATTTATATAACCCTTCTCCCACCTGAAGCTAGCAGCAACCAGGGCCAGGTTCAATATCTAGAGGTTCCTTTTCAACAATACAACGCAGAACCAGCTCGAGCCCCCGTCGAGTAACCGGGGAAAACTATACACCTCCCCTGGGCACCTCTGAGAGGCAATATTCCTCCACTCCCAAGCACAGAGTCTGAGTGTAGAAAAGAAACTTTTAATGAAAAGAGGGAAGTCACGCGATAGTAATTAGGGAAAATGCCACAATCAGGATTCATAATCATAAAATTGTGAGCAGGACACCTACCCCAGAGTGCGTGAGGGCAGTGCCTTCTGCCTCTTGGTTGTAGAAGTCAAGAACATAAGTTCCTTATCTGTGCCCCTCACTGCTCCCTCACCATACCCCACTCACCATGGTTGTCCTTGGGAAGTGGGGACCCAGGGTTCAGAGGTGCATCTGTCTGAGTTCACCTCCCACCCAGGGAGGAAAGCACCTTGCTTGCTCTGCCATCTGAGCACTTGCTCTGGTTGGCTGCCCCGCCAGTCGCTCATTCCTCTCGGGTGGCCACCCTGTCAGCTGCTCTCCCTCTCCGGTGACCCCCTCCTTTTTCCGCTCTGCTCACCAGCTGGTCACCATTCCACTTGCCGGTCACCTTCTGCCACCTGCCTCTCTTCTGTGACCTCTGCAGGTCAGTCTCTTGAGGTTTCACCCAGCTCTTTGTGATAGTCAGCTCTTAGGCTGGGCAGAAATGCTGTTCTACCACAAGTGATTGTAAGGTCTTTTGAGCACTTAAAATAACCAAAGCCTCCTAATGGAGCCTCTGTCTTTGAACAGTGGGGAACAACAGGTTACACCAGACCAGGAACCCTTAGGGAGAGTCCACTTCTCTTGGCTGAGGCTACCTGTCCCCACCCCTCTTACTTTCACAGGGATCTGGTATTCGAGCCCCTGGCTTAATGAGGTCCTTTCAGCTGAGGGTGACCCTCCTCATTTGGGACAGGTTAAGCACAGTTCTGTTCCCCTTTATTCATACAATAAAGACAACAACATTGAGAGGATTTCACTATCCCTGCATTCTGGACTAAAGTGATTTGTAACCCAACACCAGCCAAAGTTGATCACTTTGAGCCACACTGCTCTATCTGTTGGATATCTAGGCAGAGTAGGTGTGTTTATGTAAGTACAGTTTGTTCCTGAAATCTATCCCACTCCCAGCTAGCTGTGAGGGGAGAACTCATTCAGACCCTGCTTACATCTAGAACCAGGTACTGGTTGTAATTGGCAGCAGGGTCCAGGCCTGTCTGTATGAATCAGTGTTAGTCCCTTTGTGTATGTACCTCACAGTGAACAGCTGCCCCTCCAAACAGAGACATGGTAATAATGGGTCATTTAGTCATAAGGAAATTTTACAAATGCTAGGGGGAAGTGGGCTAACGGAAGCGAAGGATATTTTCGATTGCATATGACCCTTGGTAATGATACAGAGCACGTTTCCCAATTGCTGCAAATTATTTTGGTTAGTAAAAACTATGGAAGATTGTGAGCAGCTCCAGTTGAATTTAAACACAGTGGTTGCAGGGTGCAGAATTGGTAACATGATGACAAATTACATTTAATTTGGATAAATGTAAGGTAGTGCACACTGACAAAAATGGTCTAAATTTCTATTATATGGGTAATGAGCTCTGAATTTTACAAACTCCTTTGGGGAAGATGATCTAGTGGTCATGCTCAATGAAGAGGCATATCCCCCATCACACAACTGTAGTAAAGAAAAAATACAAATAGAATACTGGAGTGCTTTAAAATGGGTTTAAAATCATGCAGAAAATATTATCTACAAAAGGGTAATGGTGATGTACCTTTAGCTATAATACTGTGCTTTTTCTGATTTTGGTTGTCTCCCTTCAGGAAAGGTATAGCAAAATTGAAAAAAGCTCAAAGAAGTGGGACAAATTTAGAGGCAACTTGAGATTTGTGTTGCAAAAATATGATAGGGGGAATTTCATTGAGGTGTTTTATAAAGGGTACAGTAAAATAGAACATTTAAATAATTTCAGATTAGAGTAGTAGTTTTAGATGCAACAGGAATAGATTTACAGTTTAAGTTACAGTTTGCCATTGGTTCCAAGAAGTTTCTTAAGAAAGCCTTGGTAACAGAAAATATTCCAAAATCCCAAATTGAAGAGGTTTTTTGCACTGTAGTGCATAAAATGTTTTTAAAACATAGAAAGGAAAATAACTAATAAATGTATGGAGTAATAATATGTAACTAAACCATATAAAGACTTTAAAATATTCTCTTTACCTGAGAATGCTATTTTGTGTCTCGTCCTGTGGAACTGTTACAGCCAATTCAGATGAGCACCATGTGAGTGATTTTTTAACTCTTTCAGATGCACCAGCGGAACTCCAAGTATCCAATTCTAGGCTAAGAGAAATAGAAAGTACTCATGCAACACAGAGATTGGAGGTAAGCAATTCTGGAATGCAGGTAATTAGGAGAAATAAAGAGATGCTGATCAGGGTGATTTTGTTTGTTTCTACATGCATTAGAAATATGATTTTAAAAAAATGCTCACTCTAGAAATGAGAGTAACAGTGATGTTTAAATCCCAATTTTTCAGCCTGGTGACCATCCATCATCACATTCAGAGGGCCAGATTTGTTTAGTGGGCATGGACATGTGTGTGTTGTAGATTCATCACCTCTTACATTGTTCATGTCAGACAGGGGGACCTTGAAATGTAACAATAGCCCCTGGCTCTGAGATAGTCTCAAGTCCAGGTTTCTTGAAAGTTTCAGCATTTTTCTGGCTGATAAGGAAATAAGTAGATGCTATATGAATGACTGGGTTTGCATTTCAGACTTGGCCACAAATCAAAACTAATCTAGAAGGTGTAATTTCTATTTTATAACCCTCAATCCAGATTTTTATATGCAGTATTTTAAATTTCAAAGAGGTGTTTAAGTTTTAAAGAGTAAAGTAGGACAACATGGAAAGACTCCAACCTAGCTATTTTAATTTTTTCTCCCATTAGCAAATCCCTTAGGAACATAAGATTTAGTTTTACATTTATTAATAGTCACTTTGTGCTTTTCTAGAATGAGAGACTGAAGAAGGTTTGCAGTGATCTAGAAGAAAAGCATGAAGCAGCAGAGCTTCAGATAAAGCAGTTGTCCATAGAGTACCGAAATCAGCTGCAGCAAAGAGAGGTACAGTGCAGCGTAAATAATTTCAGGCAATATATGTCTTATTCTTTAACAAAAATGTACTACATTAAGTTTGTATAATAGCTATCTTTATCTCTTCAATTAGTATACAATCTCTAAAGGTGAGAGGCAAGCAGACTGTTCATCATGGTACAAAGTACACTATTGCTCATCCTGTCATTTATGCTGTTGCACGTTTATAAATGTACAGATTGTCTCAATCATTCACAAAATGCTTCCAAATCACGTCACATCAGTTTACACTTACACCTGCCAGATGACTTAATATAATGTAGCTACTGATCTAAATAGCCTCAGAAATATCTTGTCTGATGTCAGTTTCTCCCTATTTTATTACCACGAAGGAATAACAGAGTAGATTAATCACCACATATTATTATAAATCATTAGATAGTTCTAAATCATGATTTTTGGAAGGATAGGTAAGAAAGGAGAAAATTCTCTTTAAAAGTGTTTACTTCTGTTCTTTCAGATGTTTATTTGGTTTAAGAGTAGACTTAAAATGGGACAGAATCAACATTTGCAGCTCTGGAAAGTGGATTTTTGGGCATAAAGTAATCCTCTATGCGTGCAGTTGTATAATGTGAGATTTTTAGAGTCTTCTAAACAAGGAAAACTAGCAGTACATTTGTAAAACTTGCTTTTACAGAATAGTTTTTTAGCAGAAAGAATATCTTTGAGACGTGTGTTGCATCCATTGAAGTCAATACCACATCTCCCATTGACTTCAGTGAGAGCAGGATCAGACCCTTGATTTGTATGTGCATAGGAAAGGACATACTGAAGTTGGAAAAGCAACATCTGGATATTGTAGTATTTTGTGCATTCTGTATCTTACTTAATGTAAGCAATTTTCTTTTGATCTAAGTGACTTCTTTAATATAGTGTGTTGTGAATGCAAAACCAGCAATACATTGAAAAGTTGGAGTATAAAATAAACTCAGTTTTAATATCAAAATATATAACTTGAGGAACCCTGTACTGGTTGGTTTTATTTTAATATTTAATTAAAAATCCACCACTTTTATATTTAACTGAGTTGTGGGACTTGGCACTCAGAAGCCTTGCTGTAGAATTTAGGTACATTTGCCTGCTGAATACCGCAAAACCTTTATTTACAAGGAAAGCATTCTTTTAATGGGCAGTGCAGATACTTTGCTTATATGTTGCCTTTAGCTGAGTAGTGCTTAAATGGTAAAGGAATAATTTTTAGAAGCAGTTCTACAAGAGTCCTTGCTTTATAAGAGGCCAGTCAAGAACGTTCCTCTCCATTGAACTGGAGAGAAAACAACCCCTCCTCCCCCGCGCACATGCACGCACACACACAGTGAAAGAACAAGGAGACCTCAGTAATTTTATGTCAGATGAAAATACAAATAGTAGATTTAAATTTCATCTATTTACAAGAGATAAAGTGAATATACTTTGAGATTTTCTTCTTACTAAAATCATGCACTGTATTCTATATATTTAGGTTGAAATCAGCCATCTAAAAGCTAGACAGAATGCACTGCAGGAACAATTGCAGAAGTTGCAGACAGCTGCTCAGTCAGCACAGTTAGGAGCTGGTGTTTTGCCGCCAACCACTACATCAGCTTCCTTTGTCCCTGTGGTTAGACATCATTCTTCAGGTTTTCAAGGGGATGACATGGACTTTGGAGATGTAATCTGGTCCCAGCAAGAAATAAACAGATTGTCCAATGAAGTTTCTAGACTTGAATCTGAGGTTGACCACTGGATGCAGATAGCACAGGTGGGTGATTTTTCCGTATATTTAGTACATTGAGTAAATTGGTCACTCTTGAAATCAGTCATGTGCAAGTTCATGTTAGGCAATTATATGTAGAGAAATAGCATTTAGGTTGACATAGCTGCTGTGCTCAAGGGTGTTACAAATGCACAGCCCTGAAGACCACATAGCTATGCTGACCTAATCCCCAATGTAGACACGGATAGGATGATGGAAGAGTGCTTCCAACGACCGAACTACTATTGCCAAGGGAGGTGGTGTTCCCACAGCAACTGAAAAACCCTTTCTGATGATGCAGGCTATATCTACACTGCAGGGTTATGCTGGCATAGATGTGGCACCTTAGTTGTGCTGCATTAATCCCCACGGGCACTAATACATTCTAACGCTGTTTTTTCTGGTTGGTTGACCCTGGGTACCTTTCAGTCACTGGTGTCCATTTGTTTAAAAAAAAAAAAAAAAAAGTAATACATAAAGACCTGCCTTGCAGAAGTGATGTAAGGATTAATTAACCTGTAGATGGTGCTTTGAAAAATAGCTAGTACTATATAAGTTCTAAATATTATTTTTACTTTCTGAGAAAAGGCACCATAGTAAGACTTAGTTATGGAGACGGAATTTCTTTACTCTTCAGCATTATATTAATAGTACAGCCTCCCCACCCCTTTAAAATCTGTTAAATTGTTCTATAAATAGGGCTGTCAAGCCATTAAAAAATTAATCACAATTAATCATGCCATTAAAAAAATCAATCACACAATTAAACAATAAGAGAATACCATTTATTTAAATATTATTCGATGTTTTCTACATTTTCAAATATATGGATTTCAATTATAACAGAATACGAAGTATACAGTGCTACTTTATTTTTATATTCATTGCAAATATTTGCACTGTAAAAAAAAAAAAGAAATAGTATTTTTCAATTCACCTAATAAGAGTACTATAATGCAATCTTTTTATCATAAAAGTTGAACTTACAAGTGTAGAATTGTATACAAAAAATAACTGTGTTCAAAAATAAAACAATGTCAAACTTTAGAGCCTACAAGTCCACTCGGTCCTACTTCAGCCAATTGCTCAAACAAACAAGTTTGTTTACATTTTCAGGAGATAATGCTACCTGCTCCTTGTTCACAATATCACCTAAAACTGAGAACAGGTGTTCGTTCTCATGGCACTGTTATAACTGGCCTCACAAGATATTTATGTGCCAGATATGCTAAAGATTCATATGGTCCTTCATGCGTCAACCACCATTCTAGAGGATGTGCGTCCATGCTGATGAAGGCTTCTGCTCGATAACCATCCAAAGCAGTGTGGGCCGATGCATGTTCATTTTCAGTATCTGAGTCAGATGCCACCAGCAGAAGGTTGATTTTCTTTTTTGGTGGTTTGGGTTCTGTCGTTTCCTCATCGTAATGTTGCTCTTTTAAGATGTCTGAAAGCATACTCCACACCTCTTCCCTCTCAGATTTTGGAAGAGATTCTTAAATCTTGGGTCAAGTGCTGTAGCTATCTTTAGAAATCTCACATTGGTACCTTCTTTGAACTTTGTCCAAATCTGCAGCAAAAGTGTTCTTAAAATGAACAACGTGCTGGATCATCATCCAAGACTACCATAACATGAAATATATGGCACAATGTGAGTAAAATAGAGCTGGAGACATACAATTCTCCCCCAAGGAGTTCAGTCAGAAATTTAATGAACGCATTATTTTTTTAGCAAGCCTCATCAGCATGGAAGCGTATCTTCTGGAATGGTAGCCGAATCATGAAAGGGCCTACAGATGTTTAGCATATCTGGCATGTAAATACCTTGCAATGCCAGCTACAAAAGTCCGATGCTAACGCCCGTTCTCACTTTCTGATTTTATTGTAAATAAGAAGTGGGCAGCATTATCTTCTGTAAATGTAAACAAACTTGTTTGTGTTAGTGATTGGTCGAATGAGAAGTAAGACGGAGTGGACTTGTAGGCTCTAAAGTTTTTTGCATTGTTTTGTTTTTGAGTGCAGTTATGTAATCAAAAAAAAAATCTACATTTGTAAATTGTAGTTTCACGATAAAGAGATTGCACTACAGTACTTGTAAGAGGTGAATTGAAAAATACTGTTTCTTTTTATCATTTTTACAGTGCAAATATTTGTAATAAAAATAATTCTATAAAATGAGCAGCGTACGCTTTGTATTCTGTGTTGTAATTTAAATCAGTATATTTGAAAATATAGAAAAACATCCAAATATTTTAAATACATTTGCAATTGGTATTCTATTGTTTAACAGTGCAATTAATCGCGATTAATTTTTTTGAGTTAATCGCGTGAGTTAACTGCAATTAATAGCCCTATTTATAAGCCTATCCTATTTGTTCAGGCAAAGAGTTTCATAAACATTTACAAGGGTTCTACCCAAAATATTGTAACTTCTTTGGGGATTTTCATATGTAGGCTTCTAAAAAGTACTTTTGCTCTTGTTGTATGTGCTATTGATTGTAAATTACTACTCTGCCAATACACAAAGTGATACCGTAGTTGCACATTTTTATTAGAGATTTTACCATCTGTAATTTTCCCTTACCACTTCACTTCATTTTCTGTCAGTTACAGAAAATTCTCATTGCTGTGATCAGTCCTGCAAACTCTTACTCATGTGACTGATCTTTACTCAAGTAACTAGTGCGTTGGATTTCAGTGATATTACTTGTGTCCATAGCATCTACAGTTATGTATACTGGAAATAAAATATAGTATATATGTTGGTTTTCTTTAAATGCAAGAAACTGTTAAATATGCTAGCATGTCATAAATGCAATCAATATACTGTGAAATTTGCGCACAAAGAAATCCAATAGCTGTTTTTATGTTTCAACAGAGAAATGCTATTTTATATTTTTTTATTAGAAATAAAGCTATTGTAGCTTTAAACCTTACATTTTAATAGCCCCTCTTTATAATCAAAGTACCTACATTTGAGTGTTGTGGTAGACGCTTACTTACTTTTAGTAAGTACTTTTAGCGTACTTGCATTTTCTATTTTATTAAGAATTATTTGCTGTTGAAATGCTCAAAGGAAAATAAACCGTTGTTTATCTCAATTTATTTCCCAAACTAAAGTATTATTTTTCTTTTTATCTAGTCTTCCAGAGTACGAGGAACAGATAACGCTGATCAAAGTGAAATCTGCAAGCTGCAAAATATTATTAAAGTAAGGTGACAATTTTGACAAATCAGCCCACATACATAAATCTTTTATAATTTGCAGCTAAGCCCCCAGTCCTGCAAACATTTACATGTTTAGTCCCAATGACTTCAGTCACGTTTCATATTAATCAAGTTAAGTGTATGCATAAATGTTTGCACAATTGGGGCCTAAGTCCTCTGTACTAAATGAAGTGTATTGGCATATAATATAATTGTGTTTATAACTGAAATGTTTCCACACCTTCTGTATTTTAAAAAAGATTGATTGATCAGATGAACGAGTGTCTCTCAGGTTGGTCATACAACAGACTTGTTACAATATTATAGGCTTGAAAGTATAAAGTTTGTAAGATTAAGGCCAACGCATCAAAAGTAGCCAGTGATTTGTAGTGCCTCAATTTTTGGCTGCCCATCATGGGATACCTGGAGGTTGCTTTCCCCCCCAACCCCTTGCCCCAGTGTGCTGAGTCTCTACAACTCCAAGTGAAATCAGTGGAAACTATAAGTGTTAAGCACTGCTGAATTTCAGCTCTTTGATGGCTAAATTAGACACCATCAAAATTTTTGTCTTCATTTGTATGGTACATATTTTGTACAGGTGCATATCTGGATGTAATTTTGCTCTATTCTGAGTCCTGTTTCTTAAAAGCTAACCATTCTAACTTATTAATGTACTATATAGGTGTGAAGGCATATACTGGTAATGGTATATGGTATATGTATATAAATACATATGTAAATGGTGAAATAAGACACATACATTTTTAGACTTAAAATTGATTTGATTTTCCAGCTTCATTGTATCTTCAATACATGGTAAGGTGAGAGTAAGTGTATTATCTAGTGTAACTTAAATTTTCTAGTTTGCTTTCCTCTCATATTTGTGTATTTTAACATAAGCTATAATGAATGATGGAGAGGAGACTTCCTGGTAATTATAGGGAATGACAGGAAAACTCCTCTTGATCACACATTGCTGCTATTAAATGTTAGTTATTGCATCCTTATTATTTATCCTAAGTAAGTAAAGAGTGCTCATCTTTTTTTCTGTATGGAAAGTGGAAAACCTAATTGCACTTTTCCAGGGATGCAGAATTCTAGTTACACTACTAGAAACAGTTATTTTTTCTAGTTCCAATAAGCTTATACCATTTAATTTATAAATATGATTAGAAGGCAGGAATATTGTTGCAGTCATCTCTTCCCCACAGTCTAGGATACTTAAGGCAACTTTCAGATTAGGAAAAGCTCTAAATCAGTAACTCTCAACCTTTCCAGACTACTGTACCCCTTTCAGGAGTCTGATTTATCTTGTGTACTTCAGGTTTCACCTCACTTAAAAACTACTTGCTTACAAAATCAGACCTAAAAATACAAAAGTGTAACAGCACAATATTACTGAAAAATTGCTTACTTTCTCACATTTACCATATTATAAAATAAATTAATTTGAATATACATACTGCACTTACATTTCAGTATACAGTATATAGAGTAATATGAACAAGTTGTATGAAATTTTAGTTTCTGCTGACTTTGCTAGTGCTTTTTATATAGCCTTGTAAAACTAGGCAAATATTATCTAGATGAGTTGATGTACCCCCTGGAAGACCTCTGCATACCCCAGGGGTACTCATACCCCTGGTTGAGAACCACTGCTCTAAATAAGTATAATCGAAGTCTGAGTGAACTCTGCAGCCCTTTTTACGTGTACTTTTCATTGGGGACCAGCCTTTTCCTCAACTTATGTGACACTTTGCTCTGTGTCTGGTTCAGAAAGTTAGTCTTTCTTTTGCCTTCTGTGATGTACTGTTATGTTGCATTTGTCTACTAAGAGGTGTAAATAATCCATACACTGTAACTCTTCCCAAAACAAGTGCCAGCCTCTAGTCTTATGGCCTGTTCATGCTCCAAAAGAAGTCTGTTGCAGGGCTCTCATTGACTTCTGTGGGAGTAAGGTTTAGCCCTCTGTGAGAATCTCAGGGTTGTGGAATCTCTTCCAAGATGAGCCCAGGTTACAGAATTGAGCACACTTTCTGTCAAAGAAGGAGCAATCCAGTAGTTAAATTTTTTTTCCATTTGTTGCAAAAGTTGTGTTTTTTTTTTCCACCAGTATAAGTAAATTGACCATGATCCTGATTCTTCTTTCAAGAATAGTCCCTGCTACTCTCCTCAGTGAGGCTGAATTTTGTTGTTGCTTAAAGAGGACAAGGTTGACGCTAAGGTTGTGGGCTTCATTCTGGCTTTTAGTAAATTCCTGTGTTTGCATAAGGTAAGGGCTTGTCTACGTGGAAAGTTAGTCCCCAGCAAGCCATGATGTGAATCTACATGCCGTCCGCTTGCCACACACTAACTCACCATGCGGACACTGTTACCACACAGTAAAAGTCCTGGAGTGTAGAATAGTACTTTGGCACTTTCACTGCACTGCAGTAATGTCCACGTGGCGAGTTAATGCATGGCAAGCTCATGCCCTGTAGATTCACATGCTAGCTTCCCAGGCACTAACTTGTCATGTGCACAAGCCCTAAGTTACTTTTTTGGTGAAAGAACACTGCCAACTATCCCTATAGTTGATAAATGTTTTTGTTTTAAATTTTGCATTACGGTCAAGCTCCAAGACTATATTTTTTCCTTTCAGTATTTGTAAAGTTCTTAGAAGATGAGACATGCTGTATAAGTGCTAAGTACTTTTGTTATTTAAGCGATAATGTTCAGAGTGGGCACTTCCAGGGACTTGAGGATCTGAAGAAAAGCTAAGGGGACTTAACATAGATGGTTATTAACTGCTGCTATGGATTGCTTTACCTGGGAGTGTAGGGGGGTTTTGGGTTAAGTGTCACTATTGCAATACTTTGTGCTGAAAAGATCAGAGTAGAAATGCACTTCCATGGGACACAGCATGGTGTTTGACAAAAGTGATCAGACAACATGTACAAATAGGAAAGTAGCATTTTGTGCTCATGATTCCATTTAAAAACACACACGCACACAGATTTTTATTACTTTTTGAATACAGACAACAAGAAACTTGTTCACCTGTTTACTTGGCAGCCCTGATGTATCAATGGTTAGAGTTTCCTAATTAACATGAATTCTCCATCCAAACAAAAATTATATTATCTGAACTTTCATTAATAGAGGTTATTTGACATTTGAGACAATATTAACCTGATTATAATTAAACTGTGTGGGTGAGAGTGGAGTGTGTATATGTGAGGGGTGAGATGGTGGTGGAGGAGAAAGAGAATCCAGTCATATACCATCTGGATGTCCTGATGCAGGGATCGACAACCTTCGGAATGCAACCTGTCAGGGAAATCCGCAGGTGGGCCGGGACACTTTGTTTACCTGCAGCTTCTGCAGGTTCGGCCGATCACAGCTCCCACTGGCCGTGGTTCACCATTCCAGGCCAATGGGGGCCGCAAGAAGCGGTCGCCAGCATATCACTTGGTGTGGGAAGCGGCATGGGCCAAGTGATATGCTGGCGACCGCTTCCTGCAGCCCCCATTGGCCTGGAATGGTGAACCACGGCCAGTGGGAGCTGCGATCAGCCGAACCTGCAGACGCTGCACGTAAACAAACTGTCCCAGCCCTCAAGTGGATTTCCTTGATGGGCTGCGTGCCAAACGTTGCCGATCCCTGTTCTAATGTATACATTCTCCTGTGTGTGTGAGATCACAAGTTCTTTGAGGTGGGGCTCTTTATTTTTGTAATTTGTACCATGCCAACCACATTGTTTGTATAAATAAATAATTTTTAAAGAGGCATGTTTTATTTTTGGTGTAAAATATTTGGCAGTATCTCTGCAGGCGCAGAAAAATATCCTTTTAAAATGTATACATACTATGTATCTGCATTCTAAATACATTTTTTTTTCAATTACACTTTTTAGGAGCTGAAACAGAATTTAAGTCAAGAAATAGATGAACATCAGCATAAGCTTTCAGTGTTACAGGATGCACATCGACAGAAACTAGCAGAGATAAGTCGTCGGCACCGGGAGGAGTTAAGTGAATATGAGGAGCGAATTGAAGAACTTGAAAATCAGTTACAGCAAGGTATTTATTACCCTGTGATCATTCTATTTTATTGGGTGTTACCCTCAGCTTTTATATGGAATGAATTTTATTCAGAATATCAATACACCTACAAATGAACAGTATAATCGACATCCAGTAAATTCATATGGATTTAGCAAATCTTTAGTTTGGTTATATTGAACACATTTAATTGCATTGTTAATGGCTGCTCTTCAGAAGAAAATGCACATGTAGACTTTCAGGTGTCCACCATACAGATTCTGGTCTAGATACTGAGAAACTCTTCAAGCCTGTTAAATTAATTTTTCAGAGCTAAGGGGTTACTACCTGTGGAAGGCTTCTCTCCTACTATTCCCAATCCACTAGAGTTGAAAACTGTCTGAGAAACAGATATATCTCTTCACTTGTATTCATTGTGTGATATTTTTTTAAACTCCTGGACAATAATTTGTCCCCTCATAATCTATTTACATCCATTTAGAGTGATGGTATCCTCAGGCAGGTGGTATGCACTAAATCCATAAAACCAACACATGTTTGATTTCAATCCAATATTGATTTGGAAAGAGACTGCAGAATAGAGTGAAAACTTTTCAACCCAAAAAATATTTCTGGAGGCAAGTAGTAGGTACTAAATGGGTCACTCACTGAATGATATGAAGTCAGATGTGATGGTGATGAGGGCTGTATAAGTTCCTGGTTGGATAGGTTTATAGATAGAATACTTTCTAGCAAGAAGTGCCTTTATCTATTTTTCTTGTACTGGGATATCTTTGGATGCATAGAAGTGAAAGTTTTGTATGTCATATTAATTGGGTCTCTTTTTTTTGAAGGGGGCCTCATTTACAAGTTCATTTCTAAACTTAATAAGTTTCGTTTGTAATTGATTCATCAAAGCTATGCCACCCAAAGAGCATGTGTTACCCTTTGGGAAAGAGACATACTTCCAATGTCCCTTCTCAGAATGAAGGAGAAACTCCATCACAGACCGTGTCTCCTCAGATATAGAGTAGGCAGAAGCCCCATGTAAGAACCTTTTTGAGGCCTCAACCAGAGGTGGTAGGGGATTGATTCATGGTGTCTTAATGCCTGTTAAAATTGTTCTGTCTTTTGACTTCTTTCAAAACAATCCTTTTAAAGAGTCTTTGGTGAAATCAAAGGCATGAGCCATGCATCTTTTGCATCATGACTTGGCTGTAAGACAAAATACTTCTCACACTTCTTAGCATGATATTACTTACCTATGACCATACCCTTGCTAAATTGCATTTTCACTCATCTGGGATCGTCTGGATGCCGATCCTAGAAATTCTTGTTTTCAGAGTCTGCGTAGTCATGAATGGACAAGCAATGTGTCTTCTTTTAACAGCTTCTGTCTAAAGTTTGGCTTTCTGCCTTCTTGAGCTCTGTAACTTGTATAAATGATTTGCATTATAAGTTACGCTGGCTATACGGAGGCTCCTAAAGTTTTAGGGACATTATATGTGGTACCTATAAAAGCCCAGCTTCTCTTGAATATGACCTTTAGGTTTAAAGTCTGAGAGTTTTATTGCAGAATAATATATCTTCGCTTCTATGCTTGGCAATTTACATTTTTAATTTAAACCTTTAAAGGAAAAGTCAATGCTGTTTACTGTACATCGAATTATAAATATAAGGATTTATGTATAAAATGGCAAAACCAAATATAATGAGAATTTGTGTTCATCTATAGAATATATGATTGTCATGAAAACATTCTTTAATTCTTGTAGGAACTTAAAATAAATCTAATATGTTTGTATTGATTACCAATTTCCAGCCACAATCCTGAGAATTTAAATATGGACTAAAATGAATACATGTGAAATATGCAAATTATTATAACCTGTGACAACAGTTCATTAACTGTTACATTAAAACAACAAACCACAAAACCTCATGTCCTTTGATCTGAGATGAACCTGGTAGGCTAGCAGTATTTTGGTCAGATAGTTTTAGGAACGTATGAAGGACTGACTAGACAACTTTATTTTTGATACTCATGTTAAGTTTTTTGATTATTTTTCCCTTTTAGTCAGTTTTTTAACTATTGGTGATTAGAACCGTATCTGCCTCACTTCACGTGTTTCAAAATTGCCATTTTATAATTATCAGTATAAGGAGCAGTGAGGTGTATCTCTTCTAAAGCAAATCACATATTTTTATATACTTCAAACATTTGTTCTTCTAAATGTCTCTCTTGCTTTCTATAGATGAAGTGAGTGCCCCCATTTCACTAAAGTTATTGTTTAACATTGTCAACCTTTCAAGAATAAAAATTCTTAGTTGGTAGCTGTTCCAGGAGAAAATTCTATAATGCTGACTTTGAATTTAGACTCGTAACCAATCTCTTGTGCTTTTCAGGTGGTGCAGGCATTGAAATCAGTGATCTTTCTAAAATTAGTGACCTGCAAAAGAACATTCAAATCCTACAATCTGAAAAACCAGAGGACACGCAGACTATGAAGGAACTGGAGGATAAAGTAAAAAATTTAAATCAGAAATTATCTTCTGTAGAAAATGAGAACAAAATCCTGCTGAACGAAAGAGAACTGGTAAAGGTGGAAAACAGCCAAATAACACAAGAATATGAAAGACTGAAATCTGATGTTATTAAGCTTCAAAATTATGTTGCAGAACAGGAGACCATTCTGAAAGAAGAGGGGAAAAAACTCCCACTGATGACCTCATCAGAGGAAGAAGTGCTCAGACTACAACAAGCACTGTTGGGTATGAAGCAATTGAGATTTTCAGATCCTATCCAAAAGATTTTACACATTTAAAAATAGAGAGAAGCCATTTTAGGAAAAGTAGTATGACTAAATATGAGATTGTGATTACTATGAATAGAGCCATCTTAGAAAAGGGTTTACCCCTGAAATGATCAAGTAAAACAAGATCTGAAAGGATTACCTTGGCACTACTCTGATAGTGAGGTAGAAGTCTCTGGATAGCTTAGTGAAGATGCCTGCCTAGAACCTGGCTGAAAGACTAAACCTAGCTGTTTTGCTGAAAGACTAAAATAATAATGCCAGTTTTATGATGATGTTTTCTAAAATTGTTTGCATCACTCTAAAGATATAGCTAAGATTAAAACGTGTAGAGAGAGGCTGACAAATGTTAGAAATATGGCTGGTCTTAAAATGTTGTTGAAAATACTAAGATTAGTTACACTGGAAAGAAGAGAAGCTAAAGATGACAGCTGAACAATTTAAAATTATGGCATGACACATAAAAAATGACCTTTCCTGTTTGCTTGGTTTGCCTTCCCTTATCAATCTGGACTTGATTTCTTTTACTATCCTGCTTCGGATCCATTTGCTGTCTTGCTCTGACACTTTGTCTTGTTTTACTTCTATTGCTCGCAGCAAATCCTGGGCTAGGTATGGAAAACTGTAGATATCTGAACACATAGGCCCTCTGAATATGCATTTCCCCATCTGCAGTATTATTTGCTTTTTCCCACAGATAGTTCTCTGCAGGTCCAGAGATCTTCTTACAGAGTGTGGGGGGGGAGGGCTGCAGCTCCCCAAAGTAGATCTGCTCAAGAATTAATACTGTCTGAGCCCTATCCATTTTAGAGAAGCTACCATTCAGGGGCTTCCAGGGCATTCAGTCTGGGAAGTCCTGGCGACATGATGGTCCAGCCAGGGAGCCTTTGCAGTAGTTTCCCTGACTGCGGAGTCCAGAAGAGACTGAGGGGAACCTCATAATGCTTCTTGCCCCCTAAACTTTTTCTACATAGGGCTTTTTGGGGTTTCTTGTGAGGGAATTGCTTTCAAAACGAGACTGTTAGCCATGAGTTTCCCACAGTAATGACCACTTTTAAGTAACAGAAGCATATGCTTTTGCTTGTAGCCATTATAGAAACTCAGTAGTAAGAGTTACATTTAAATGAATATTTTTCCATTATAACAAATTGGTTTTTGGTGTTATAGGAGTGTAATTCACAAAAATAAAATGCTGTATTTGTGATTTATAGGCAGTGTCTGTGTTGTGGTAAAATATTTAGTTGTTTCATTTTGAATATTTTCTTTGGTGTTTTATAAAAGTCTTAAGTACTTAGTCATTCAGAGCTAAATTTCAGTAACTACTGATGGACTGTGTCTGAACTTCACTTGTGTTCTAACATCTTGGCCTGAATCTAGCTGCGAAGAGATGAAAACTGGATCATACTGTTGTGTTTTTACATTATGGGTTTTTTCCCACTGATTGGAGCATGCTGATGGAATATAGCAGTTTACTGCTTGGAGACGTTAATTTGGTTTTAGTTACCTAAGATTTTTCTACTTAATCTGTATAGCAATTTAAATGACTTAATCTTCTGGTTGTCAACATAAATAATTTAATTTTGTTGCTGTTTTTACAGATGCAGAAAAAGAAATAATGAGACTTAATACCTTAAATCAGGTAAGCTGATTTCGAAATGATACCAACGCTGAAGTCATAATAGTAAGAACTAAGTGAATCATAGAATCATGCAAATGTAGGACTGGAAGGGACCTTGACAGGTCATCTAGTCCAGTCCCCTGCACTGCCATAGATCGAAGTATTCTCTAGAACATCTCTGACAGGCGTTGTCTAACCTGTTGTTAAAAACCTCCAGCAATGGAGATTCCACACTCTCTCTAGGTAATTTGTTCCAGGCTTAGGTATCCTTACAGTTAGACATTAGGGAAAACTTCCGAACCTAAATATCCCTTGCTGCAACTTAAGCCCATTACTTCTTGTCCTTTCCTCAGTGCCTAAGAGAACAATTTATCACCCTCCTCTTCATAACAACTTTTTATGTACTTGAAGTCTGTTATGTTTCCCCTCAGTCTTCTCTTCTCCAGACTAAACAAAGCCATTTTTTTTTTAAATCTTTCCTTACAGGTCATGTTTCCTAGACATTTAATCATTTTTGTTGCTCTCCTCTGGACTTTCTCCAATTTGTCCACCTCTTTCCCGAAGTATGGTGCCCAGAACTGGACACAATACTCCAGTTCAGACCTTCTCAGTGCTGAGCAGAGTGGAAGAATTGCTTTTCATCTTGCTTACAACTATTCTACTAATACAACCCAGAATGTTGTTCACTTTTTTTGCAACAGTATTACATTGCTGACCCGTATTTCGTTTGTGGTCCACTATGACCCCCAGATCCTTTTCTGCAGTTCTCCTTCTGAAGGTGGTCATTTTTCATTTTGTAGTTGTGCTGTTTGCATTTGTCCTCATTGAATTTCATTCTATTTAATTCAAATTATTTCTTCAGTATGTTAAGATCATTTTGAAATTTAATCCTGTCCTCCAAATTGCTCACAACCCTCTCCAGCTTGATGTTGTGCGTAAACTTTTAGTGTATTCTCTGTGTCCATTATCCAAATCATTTATGAAGATATTGAATAGAAACGGACCCAGGACAGATTCCTGTGGGACCCCACTCATTATGCCCTTCCAGCTTGATAGTGAACCATTGATAATTACTCTAAGTATAGTTTTCCAGCCAATTGTGCACCCATCTTATAGTAGATTCGTGTAGGCTGTAGTTCTCTGAGAAGGTCATGTGAGACAGCATCAAAAGCCTTACTAAGAATCATGACACCACCCCCCCTTCCCCGGACTGGTGGCCTGAACCCGGGGCTGGCAGTGGGCTGAGCGGGTCCAGCAGACAGAACCCCAGCTGGCAGAGGGCCGGCAGACAGTACCCCGGGCCGGCAGCAGAGCCCCCAGGACTGATGGTCAGGACCTGGTCAGTGAGAATGCCACTGAAAATCAGCTCGCATGCCGCCTTTGGCACGTGTGCCATAGGTTGCCTAGCCCTGCTTTAGAGATTTTTATTAAAATCAAGGAAAAAGTCATAAAAGCTCCAAACCATAGAATCAGAAAGAAATAATATAGTTCTATGGGTACCTGTGGTATCATTCCTTACAAAAGTTACTCACACCCTTCCTTGGGGACCTGGTGATAGGAGACCAAGGATCAACCTTGTCTCTGGCATGCTAGATGAGTCCGATGGTTCAGGTTCCTCAATGCTGAGAAAGTGGATAGAAGGATCAAATGTAGAGTAACTAAGCTATACTGCAAAAGCCAACGTGGTAGCTAAACAAAAGAGGAACTTAAAAGAACTAACTCCACTTAGTTATCCACTTAAAATGCTCTGGTTGACTAAATATAAAGCCTGTTTTTAAAACAGTGTTTAAAAACTTGAATAATAATATAAAATCCAATTTATGTCCAATATAAGGAAGAACTTCAGAAGAAACTGGCAAATTTACAACATAAAGATGAGGATATTACATCTGCATCTATTGAAGACCAGAACTTGGAATTAAATCAGTTAAGGCAGGAATTGGAAAGGAAAGAGCATGAACTCAAAGAAAGTATTATAGAAAGAGCAACACTAACAGCAGAATTAGAAGAATTGGACAAGCAGAATCAAGAAACTATGCAGGTAACAAATATTGCTGAGAATTAATGGACTTCTTTACTTTTTAGACATTCAGTGTGTGATGTTAATCTTTGCTCACAGATATCAGGACCTATTAGGTTCCTAATAATCTCTTCCTGCCATACTGGATAAGACCAGTGGTTTATTTAGTCCATCCTCCTTCCTGACAGTGTCTGATACCAGATGCTTCAAGGAAATGCAAGAAATCCTGTAGTGGACTGTCAGGGTTCCCTCCCCACTCTGAACTCTAGGGTACAGATGTGGGGACCCGCATGAAAGACCCCCTAAGTTTTTATTTCTACCAGTTTAGGGTAAAACTTCCCCAAGGCACAAATTCTTTGCCCTTGGAGGGTACGCTGCCATCACCAAGTGATTTTAAAAAAGAATCAGGGAAAGGACCACTTGGAGTTCCTGTTCCCCCAAAATATCCCCCCCAAGCCCTTACACCCCCTTTCCTGGGGAGGCTTGAGAATAATATCCTAACCAATTGGTTACAAAGTGGTCACAGACCCAAACCCCTGGGTCTTAGGACAATAGAGAAAAATAGACAACAGTCAGGCTCTTAAAATAAACAGAACTTTATTAGAAAGAAAAAAAGTAAAAGAAGCACCTCTGTAAAATTAGAAGGGAAGCTAACCTCACAGGGTAGTCAGATTTAAAACACAGAGGATTTCCCTCTGGGCAAAAACTTTAAAGTTACAAAAAGAAAACCAGGAATACACCTTCCTCTCAGCACAGAGAAAATCACAAACCAAAACAAAAGTAAACTAATGCATTTCCTTGCTAGTACTTACTAATTCTAATGAAGTTGGATTACTTGCTTTCTTGATCTCTCCCCGGCAAGCACACAGAACAGACAGACAAAAGCCTCCCCTCAACCACCCCTCCCCCCCCATTTGAAAGTATCTTGTCCCCTTATTGGTCATTTTGGTCAGGTGCCAGCCAGGTTACCTGAGCTTCTTAACCCTTTACAGGTAAAAGGATATTGTGCCTCTGTCCAAGAGGGATTTTATAGTACGCATATACAGGAAGGTTGTTACCCTTCCCTTTGTATTTATGACGGACAATTATGGAATAACATACCCGCTATCCACAATGGAAATTTCTTACTAATTTCCGTCAGGTAGTGGTTATCATGTGCCCTCTATCATGAGGGTTTATTCCCCTTTTTAGGAATGTTGCAGTACCCAAGGATATGTTTAGGTTTATATAATCCTAATAAAATCTTGACCTCCATAAATACTTGTGACAATGTGTTATATAAAAAGTATTTCCTTTTATCAGCTTTACATTTTATTAGTTTGTAGTAGCATAACATCTTAAATTTTTTTTTAAAAAAATCAGATTTTGAGCAAAATATGTGAAACTTAGTGGTCACAGATTATTTTTAATCAAAATCAAATATTAATAGATTTATATTTGTCACTATTTTAACTGCTATTAAGGTTTTAAAAATGTATTTGAAATACATTTGTTTCAGATTAACTACTTGACTTTTCAGAAGGAAAATGGCCAATACCACAATAATTAGGTCCCTACCAAATTCAAGGTCCATTTTGGTCAACTTCACGGTCATAGGATTTTAAAAATTATAAATTTCAGCTATTTAAATTTGAAATTTCATGGTGTTGTAATTGTAGGGGTCCTGACCCAAAAAGTAGTTTGTGGGGAAGGGAGGTCACAAGGTTATTGTAGGGGGAACCGCAGCCAATGGGAGCTTTGGGGGAGGTACCCGCAGGTGAGGGCAACATGTAGAGCCCTCTGCCCCCCTCCAGGGGCCGCAAGGACATGGTACCGGTCACTTCCAGGAGCGTGGCTGGGCCAGGGGAGACAGAGAGCCTGCCTTAGTCCGGCTGCATGCTGATGCCATCCCGGAGCCGCTCCAGGTAAGCAGTGCCAGGCCGGAGCCCACACCTCAAAAACTTCCTGCACCCCAAACCCCTGCCCTGAGCCCCTTGTGCACTCCAACCCCTGCCATGAACCTCCCACCCCCTACCTTAAGCCCCCTCCTGCACCCCGCATCCCTGCTGCACACCAACCCCTTGCCCTGAGCTCCTTCCTGCACACCACACCCTGCCCCACCTCCCTCACCCCAACCTCCTGCCCCAGCCCTACATTCATGGCCCTGCATGCAATTTCCCCACCCAGATGTGGCTCTCGGGCCAAAAAGTTTGCCCACCCCTGTGCTAGAGCCAAATATACTGATAAAATGACTTCTCTACTACTACTCGAGATTCCCCTGTTTATGCATCTCAGGATTGCATTAGATCTTTTGACCTCAGCATCTCACTGGGAGCTCACGTTTAGCTGAATATCCACCACAACCTCCAAATCTTTGTCAGGGTCACTGCTTCCAGGATAGAGTCCTCTGTTCTGTAAAATATGGCCTACATTCTTTATTCCTCTTCATTATTTACCACTTCTCCAATTTTTGTCATCTGCAAACGTTATCAGTGATGATTTTATGTTTTCTTCCAGGTCATTTGATAAACATGTTAAATAGCATAGGGCCAAGATAACAACCCCAGAGGAACCTCACTGGGAACAGACCTCTTTGATGACAATTCCCTGTTTACAGTTACATTTTGAGACCCATCAGTTAGCAGTTTTTAAACCATTTAATCGGTGCCATGTTAATTTGATATTCTAGTTTTTTAATCAGAATGTTGTGTGGTGCCAAGTCAAAGGCCTGACAGAAGTCGAAGTATATTACATCAGCACTATTATATTTATCAAACAAATTTGTAATCTCTGTAACAGGGTGAGCTGAATCAGGAGTTGACTCAGCATCCTGTCTCTCAAATCCCCACCAATATACATTAATTGAGAAGGGTCAATCAGCTGAGTAGAGCTACAGCTGAAGGGCTAATTAGAGGGGGATGCAACCCTAGTATCTGGGAGCCTATAATTTGAGAGGAAGGAAGCCATGGAAGGGGGAGCTGAGAACCAGAAGGAAAGCACAGCTGGGCCGGGTTGACTGCTGCCAGCTCTATTCCCTTCTCCAGAAGCAAGTGGTGGAGCTGGCCTAGGGCTTGTAAATTATAAGGTAGAGGCTGCTGGAACAACAAAATAAAATATGATGGTGGTAAAGGAGAAATGAAGTGGTTTGGGCTTTACTTAAGGCCTGAAAGGACTCACAGGGGATCCCCCCCATAACAATTTCATCAAGAACAGATATCAAGTTTGTTTGACAGGATCTGTTTTCTATAAACCCATGTTGATTTGCCTAAATTACATTGCCCTTCTTTAGTTCTTTATTAATTGCATCCCAAATGAGCCATTATATTCTCTTCCCAGAATTGATGTCAGGCTGACAGGCCTATAATTAACTGCGTATCTCATTTACCCTTTTTAAAAATTTGCACATTAGCTTTCAGTCTTCTGGAACTTCCCCAGTATTCCAAGACCAATTGAAAATCAACCTTAATGGTCCAGCGAGCTCAGCAGCCAGTTCTTTTATAACTCTTGAGTACAAGGTGGCTGGACCTGCTTATTTTAAGATGTCTAACTTTAGTAGCTACTGTTTAACGTTCTCCAGAGATCTGAGTGGAATGGAAAGTGTGTTATCACCATATGATGAGACTATATAATCTGTTTTTCCCCAAATATAGAACAGTTATATTTATTGAACACTTCTGCCTTTTCTGCATTATTATTGATAATTCTACCATTTCCATCTAGTAATGGGCCAATACCATTGTCAGGATTCTTTTTGTTCCTAATATATTTTAAAAACTCCATCGTATTATCCTTAATTCTCGGGGCCATAGATTTCTGCTTCTGTCCATGGGCTTCCCTTATCAATTTTCTACAATTCCTAACTCTGATTTATATTCATTAGTATCAACTTTCCCTTTCTTCCACTTGTCACGTATTTTTTACAGCACAGCCTTCTTCCTTGATTGTGAGATTGTGCCTTTTGGGACATCTAGTAAGGTGTTCTTAAAGGATTCCCAAGCATCATTCACATTTTTCTGATTAAATTCTTTCTCCTGTCTGTGATCATTGCACACACCAACGACTCCTTGCATTCACTCCAACAAGCCTCTTGTGTGCCACCCTTCTATTCCCCTTTTACTTCAGTGACTCACTGCACACACACAGCCCAGTACCAGAGGATCTTTGCTTTCTGTCCTCCATTCTCACCTCCACCAAGTGTTCTGTGTAACTCCCCATTCCAGGGGCTCTGTGTGCTGTCTCATTACCTCTTCCCCCATACCAGGGTCCCTCAATCTCCCTCCCATACAAGAGGCTGTGCGCACCACTGGACCTTCCTTCCAAACTGTACCAAGGTTCCCCATTCTCTTCCCCCCCCCCATTAGGGGTTCTTTGTGACCCCTCCATTTCCCCTCATGCCAAGAGCGATGTGTGGCCCCAAATTAGGGTCTTCCCTTTACCCCCTCAGTCAGGGATCTATGTGCTCCCCATTTCTCCCTCCTTCCCAGGCCAGGGGTTCTGAAAGCCCCCGTTTCCAGGTCCCCCTTTTTCTGCTGCCAGAGATTGTGCCTGCCCCTATTTCTTCATGCCCCTGTACCAGGATCCATCATTCTCCTTCTCCGTCTGTGTGCACCTCCATTCCCCACCACCATTCTTAGTCTCCTTTCCCTTTCAGTGTGTCAGCAGCATTGGGGGGATTGGCAGAACTCAGATGAGGGGGTTTGTTATGCTAGAATATGTTAATGGGTGTGATAAATAAATTCTTCAATTTATAGACAATTACAAGGGTGGTTGGAGGTGTTAGCTCTGCAAGCCAGATGCTTAATGTGTCCCCCATTTTCCCCTGAAGGTTTTCATATTTTTCACCAAAATGTTTAGTGTTCTGTCCATTAATGCTTAGAATATTCCCTTAATTTTTGGAATTGATTGGATGCAATGGTCAGAAGTTATTGCATTACACCCAAACAAAGAAATGACTCAAGCTTGACCAATAATACATCTGCACAAGGAGGCTGAATTAAGGTTGAATGGGCAACCTTATTCAAGCACTTTATAGGCTTTTTACTTTGCTACCTCAGTGTTTTCTTAATTTTTAAATTAATTTAAATTTAAATTCTACATATATTTTTTTAAATGTAATTTCTTATGTTTTTAAAAAGCTTGAATTTTTTTTTTCAGTTATATGGAACCATGTTGGCCCCCATGTGGGTTATCTGTAGGATTGGGATCTTTAGATCCATAGCATAGACCTCTGCCATGGATCTTTAGATTCGTTACATAGACTTCTCCCACATGACCTAACAGAGTAACTGGTAGCAATGGAACGCTGTCACCTTCCTTGTGGACCTGCCATTAGATGAGGAGTGAAGACACGCAGTCAGGTGGATTTCACTGCTGTTTGCTAAACAGCAAAAGAATATTGAGGCTCAAGAATAATGGTTTAAATTCTAGGTCCTGTTGGGGAGTGTGTCCCAGAGGTTATAGACCCTTCTGCCCCTGTCTTTCTGCTCCTATTCCTGCCTTACCCTCACCCTTATTCTTCATTTGAGTCAAGTAGCTTCTTTCTCTTCTACTTTGCCTGCATGTCTGCAGAGAGAGCATCAAGAGTTGCTCTCAGTTCCTGTCCTTGTCACTACAACAGCTCCTGGCAGGCAGGAGGAGCAAATGCAGTGAAGGTCCTGTTCAGTCCCTGAAGATGGTGCATGCTCCAGCACGCTGTGGGAACGGCTCATGTGCAGTCTAGTCAGCACATAAGCAATTTGAGGAGTGGAGCATGCTCAGTGCAAATGAAATCTTCAGAGAATTAAGCTGCAAAACTGTAGTGTGTCTCTACTGAGCATGTGCAAACAGACTTTTTTTCCCAAAGGATTAGAACTTTGCCAAATTTGGATGAATTTTCTCAGGGACAACAAAAGCACATCACTAGTGTTAGTGGGAGAGACTTCCTCCTCCCCCTCCCCCCCACCCGTCCCATTCCCCCACTACAAAATTTCAAGTCCCTGTTCCAATGTGTGGAGGTGCTAGAGATGCTAATTGAAACTATTGTAAGGAGTTTTTTAATGCGGGCAAAAGTGTGTGTTTCACTAATCTCATTCTCAAAAATGGCTGAAGCATTTTAATTGGAACTGTCCCCAAAACATCAGCCTTGGGCACCTGGCATGGGAAATTTCAGCCTAAATGGTTGGTTTGGCAAAATTAATTGAAAACAAAGTCTTACCATGGAAAGTGTCGGGCAACTTAATGGTACGCATCACTGTGCGGCCTATAATAAATGAGCTGTCTGTCAAATTTTCAATTCTGTTGTTACTGCTGTGTTAAGAATTTTAAAGTTCCAAATGTTCATTTGACCTAGTTGAAAAAAGTTTTTCTTTGTCTTAACCAAATCTTATATACACCTGGGGTTTCTTTGATGTTAAGACTTCATGGCTTAAGCTATCTTGTAGACCAAAATGGGTTCTCTTTTAAATGTAATATGCTATTTCCTTCCAGAACATCACTTGAACTCCAGTGGTTTGATAGAATTATTACGGTATATCTGAAAACCTTATGCAGTCTGCTTTTGGGAAGCACTGACCCCTCTTAGGGGCGCTCAAGCAAGTCCATAAAAGGACAGTATGTTTTGTTAATTATTGGATTTTTTAACATAAAAATGTTCTGAAACAGAGCTGTCTATTGAAAAGTGAATATTCAATAAATTTGTCGTTGCTGTTGTGTGCTAATGTCATTGTGTTTTGACCATGATTTTAAAATACAGTAGTTTTAAATGTTCCATATTTTCCATAGGCTTTTGAAATGGAAGAAATATTCCTATAGTTTCTAATAACATGATTAACCTCTGTTTGAGTCCCAAATATTCTGATATGGTCTATATTAGGCAGGCATGCTATATCAATTTATCAAGTTTTGTGCAATTCAAATATAAACACTTCTTGCATGTGTTAGACTGTATGTTAATTCATATTTATGTATTCGTGTGAATGAACATTAATCACATTTACTTACTTGTGACTTGATTTAATGCCTCACTAGTTTTAAATAATAGCTCAAAATATTAGTTCACAGCTAAAATGGATGTTTATTTATGCCAATTTAATTATCCTGAGAAATCCTGGACATTTTTGACTTTTACATTTAACTTATTGTTTTGGAGAGTGATTCTGTAGGTTTGATGGAATATATTTTTAATAATTTGAAAATGACTGCTCAGTCAACTCCTTAAAAAAAAAAATCCTTTACATTCTTTTGTTATCCAGATGATTAAATGAATGAAAGCTCTGTTTTTATCCTGATGAATGCTTGTTTCTGTTTGTTTTAGCATATGATTACCCTGAAAGAGCAGCTATCAAAACAGCATACAGAACCTGATAGTACCATCAACCAACTGAAACTTGACATAAATTTTGAAAGAAGGAAAGTGTCTGAAGTAGAAGTTGAGAAGATGGAATTGAGTAAGGAACTAGAAACCCAGAAATTAAAAATGAACCACTGTACATTTGCACTTAATGATTTGCATATGAGTAATCAGCAGCTTCAGCATAACATTAAGGATTTACAAGAACAACTAAAGAAATCCCAAGATGGTAACTTGAATAATAAAAAGGAAATTGCAGAATTGAAGCAAAATCTGAAACAAAAAGAGAAGGAACTTTCTGTTTCCCAGAACGAGTTAACAAAGATAATGAATCAAGAATCTAACAGTAACTATCAAGATCTTTCACTTAAAGAAAGAGAAGCAGAAATTGCAAAACTAAATGAAGATATTTCAGAAAATAAACAACTAAATCAAAATTTGGAGAGATCAGTTTGTGATCTTAAAATAGAAAATGGAAAGCTGCTGACAGTCTGTGAAGAACTAAAACAGCAGTTGCATGAAGCCTTTGCTGAGAAAAATAAGGTTTCCCTGGAAAAAGATACTATGTTGGAGGCTTTGAAAATGGAAAAAGGACAGTTGGAAACTGAATTAAGCCAGACCAAAACGCAGCTGTTGGAACAAGCAAAAAAATATGAACAAACCACTGAGGACCTGTCAAATGCACGTAACATGAACACCACTGCATTACAGCTTGAACATGAGTGTCTAGTGAAATGCAATCAAGAAAGGGACTTTGAGATAGCAGAACTCAAAAGGAGCATTGAGCAGATGGAAGCGGACCATGAAGAAACTAAAGAGATGTTGACAACTAGCTTAGGAGGACAAAAGCAGTTGACAGAACTCATAAAAGAGAAAGAGGTGTTTGTTGAAACATTTAAAAATAGAGCTCTAGAGTTGCAACAGGAACTTGAGGAATATGTTAAGGATTCCAAAAAGCATGAGATTTTAAGACAAAATTTAGAAGAAAAGGACAAAAGTCTTGCAGCCATGAAAGAAGAAAACAATCATCTGAAAGAAGAGATTGAAAGACTAAAGGACCAGCAAAGCAGATCTCCACCTGTGGCTGAGCCTAAAACACTAGATATTATTACTGAACTTGAAACTGAGATAACACAGTTACACGTAATAAAGAATAATCTTGAAGAGGAAATAAAACTTCACAAAAAAACAATTGAAGATCAGAGTCAGAAGACTGTGCAACTTCAACAGTCTTTGCAGGAGCATAAAAGGGAAATAGGTGAGTCTAAATTTCAGTATGAGCAAATGAATGTCACACATGAAAAGCTTTTCTTGGAGAAAGATGAGGAAATTAAAAGTTTGCAGAGGACAATTGAACAAATTAAAACTCAGTTGCACAATGAGAGGCACGTCTTTCAGACAGACTCCTCTGATCTCTTTCAAGAAACCAAAGCCCAGTCGCTGAATGGAGAAAATGGTAATGAAAAACACGACTTGTCTAAGTCTGAAATTGAAAGACTAGTAAAAGGTATCAAAGAGAGAGAGAGGGAGATTAAGCTTCTGAATGAAAAGAACGTCTTTTTAACTCAACAAATTGATCACTTGTCTAAAGATCAAGTTGGTAAACTCACTCAGATCATCCAAGAGAAAGACTTAGAGATACAAGCTCTCCATGCAAGTATTTCCTCTTCATCATATAGACAGGATGTTCTGTACCTTCAACAGCAACTTCAAGCCTATGCCATGGAAAGAGAACAGGTGCTGGCAGTTTTGAGTGAAAAAACTAGAGAAAACAGTCAGTTAAAAACAGAGTACCATAAAATCATGGATATGGTAGCAACTAAGGAAGCAGCTCTGATGAAGTTACAAGAAGAGAACCAAAAATTATCTAATCGGTTTGAAAGTAACAGCCAAGATATGTTTAGAGAGACTGTTCAGAATTTGTCCCGTATCATTCGAGAGAAAGATATTGAAATAGATGCCTTGAGTCAAAAATGCCAAACCTTATTGACTGTCCTACAGACATCCAACATAGGTACTGACAGTGGGTCAGGAGGTGTTAACAGTAATCAGTTTGAGGAGCTTTTACAAGAGCGTGATAAATTAAAGCAACAAGTAAAGAAGATGGAAGAGTGGAAGCAACAAGTAATGACTACAGTCCAGAACATGCAGCATGAGTCAGCTCATCTCCAGGAGGAGCTACACAAGCTTCAGGCACAAATTTCAGTTGACAGTGATAACAATTCTAAATTGCAGATGGATTATAATGGCTTGATCCAGAGTTATGAGCAGAATGAGAAAAAAATGAAAAGTTTTAGTCAGGAGTTAGCACAAGTTCAGAATAGAATAGGACAGCTTCATAATACCAAGGATCTTCTTCTGGGAAAACTTGATATGGTAGCACCACCGCTGCTGATGGCTTCTTCAGTTTCACAAGCATCAGATATTCCAAGCAGTACTTCTCCTGAAATAGTCAGTGATGCGTCCAAACTCCTTCAACAGGAATTGGAGCAGCTTAAAAATATGCTACAAGAAAAAGATGTGACTATCAGAACTCTTAAGGAAAATAATCAAAGATTGTCTGATTCTATGGCTGCAACATCGGAGTTAGAAAGAAAGGGACAAAAGGACACTGATCCAGAGATGAAGCAGATAAAGGGAAAATGTGATGTTTTCCAGAAGTCACTTAGGGAAAAAGACCTCTTGATTAAATCTAAAAGTGATCAGTTACTTTCTGTAAGTGAAAATCTCAGTAACAAAGAAAATGAAAATGAGCTTTTAAAACAAGCTGTCACTAATCTTAAAGAAAGAAATCTAATTTTAGAAATGGACATCTGTAAGCTGAAAGAAGAAAATGAAGAAATAGTAGCAAGGTGCAGGGAGAAAGAAACCGAATTCCGGGCATTACAAGAGACTAACATGCAGTTTTCAATGATGCTGAAAGAAAGAGAATTTGAATCCCACTCAATGAAAGAAAAAGCTCTTGCCTTTGAAAAACTATTGAAGGAAAAAGAACAGGTATGTGAGGAATTTTTATTTGTTCTATTAGTTATAAATATTTAAGGGAGAAAGTACAAACTTTTAAAATCATACATGTGACGGAATTCTCACAAATATAATCTGAAGGTATTTGCCTGAAAGTAGCTTCTCATTTACTGAATGAAACTTTGCAGAAGTGAATGAATTTCAAAGTTTTGAGTGATCTTACTGCAAGGTTCTGTTCTGTTCAGGATCTCTTAGAAACCTATATTTGTCTTCAAAGGTTATACGTATTACTGTTAATAAGAGTAATGTTTAAATAAACCACTGCAAAGTGACCTGACATAGTTTAGTTACGATAATATATTTGGCATCAGTTAGAGCATTTTGTATCTACCAAACAGAATGTAGAGCACCATTTCTCTGAAAAAGAACATTTTCATAGATTTTAAAAATGTATTTGAATTTCATAAAAAGTAATTTAATCTTTATGGCATAGTGTTAATGGCAGTTAAAATTTTGTGTGTGTGTGTTTTTTTTAATCCATGACATCTTCAGATACCTGTGAAGTACTCTGCCAGTCCAAGTTTCTTACTCTGTACTATTGTAACTAAATACTATGAAATTGCAATAATAAGGCACTTCAGTGATTTTAAAATAGATTGCTTATGTAAAAATTATAAAATGTCATTGTGGGGTTTCATGTTTACTCTTGATCACTTCCATATCAAATACAGTTACAAATAAAAAAAATGTGGTGTTTTTTTTTTTTTTTAAAGGCCAGCCCTGCAAACTCAGCCTGGGCTCTTAAGAGTCAAACTTGTTTCTTTCCATTTCTTGCATAATCCTCAGAAATAAAAGTCATGCAGACTAAATTAGGCCTCTTGGTGTCACCAGTGCAACCCAAATGTTTTCAGTGGGGTTTCACAAATATAACTGACGGGAACTTAGGAAACAACTTGTTTGATGTTGCACGAGATAGTATAGCTCTCTTAGCCCCCCCCCCCCCCCCCCCCCCCCCCCCCCCCCCCCCCCCCCCCCCCCCCCCCCCCCCCCCCCCCCCCCCCCCCCCCCCCCCCCCCCCCCCCCCCCCCGCCGGGGCCCGCCCCCCGCCCCCCGGGCCCGGACCCAACCCCCAGCAGGCCCGCAGGGGGGGGGCGGCCCACCCCCCCCCCCCCCCCCCCCCCCCCACACCCCCCCCCACCCCCCCCCCAAGGCAAAGGGGGACCCCAGACCGGGGCCCGGCGCCGGGGGGGGGGAGGGGGGGGGCCGAGGCACCCAGAGAGAAACCAGGGGGGCGGCGCCCCGCCCGGGCCCCGGCCCCCACCCCCCCCGGCGCGGCGAGAGGGGGCGCACCCCCCCCGCCCCGCCGGGGCCCCCGGGGGGGAGGAGAAGGGGGAGAGGGGGGGGGGGGGGAGGAGGAAGGAGGGGGGGGGGGGGGGGGGGGGGGGTTGGGCCGGTAGGTAGGGGGGGGGGGGGGAGGAGGGGGGAGGAAGCAGGCAAAGAAGGGGGGAAACGGGTTCTCCCCCCCCCGGGGGAGAGGCTCTCCCCCCCCCCGGGGCGGGGGCCCCCCCCCCCACCCCCACGCGGGCCCCCCGCCGGGACAGAGGGGGGGAGGGGGCCCCCGGGGGGGGTCCCTTTTAAAACTATAAATGGTTTAAAAAGAAGGATGGGAAAGGATTATTTGCCCTGGTTTGGGTCTCCTATATGTAGTCCTAAAGCCTTTGCAAAAAGGTTTCTGGGGAGGGCAGCCTTATTTCGTCCTTCATGGTAGGACACTTTACCACTCCAGGCCAGTAACACGTACTGGGAATCACTGTAGAACAAAGCATTGCAGTGTATGTTTGCTGGCATTCAACCAAAATCCGTTCTTTATCTCTCTGTGTTATCCTCAGGAGAGTGAGATATAATTCATGGTCACCTGGTTGAAATAGAGTGCTTTTCTTCAGGGGACACTCAGAGGAGCCCATTCCTGCTGGGCTGTTTGCCTGTGGCTAAACAGAAATGTTCCCCGCTGTTAGCCACAGGGAGGGGAGAAGGTTGAGGGGGGTAGCCACACGGTGGGAGGAGGCAAAATGCGACCTTGTAACGAAAGCACATGTGCTATGTATGTAATGTTAACAGCAAGGTTTACCCTGAAAGAGTGTAGCCACTGTTTTATAAAATGTGTCTTTTTAAATACCGCTGTCCCTTTTTTTTTTCTCCACCAGCTGCATGTGTTTCAATGATCACAGGATCTTCTCCTTCCCAGAGGCTAGTGAAGCTTAGAAAGAAAAAGAAACGCACTCGCGATGAAATGTTCTCCGAGCTCATGCTGTCCTCCCACACTGACAGAGCACAGACGAATGCGTGGAGGCAAATAATGTCAGAGTGCAGGAAAGCACAAAATGACCGGGAGGAGAGGTGGAGGGCTGAAGAGAGTAAGTGGCGGGCTGAAGAGAGTAAGTGGCGGGCTGAAGACAGGGCTGAAGCTCAAATGTGGCGGCAGCGTGATGAGAGGAGGCAGGATTCAATGCTGAGGCTGCTGCAGGACCAAACCAGTATGCTCCAGTGTATGGTTGAGCTGCAGCAAAGGCAGCTGGAGCACAGACTGCCACTGCTGCCCCTCTGTAACCAACCGCCCTCCTCCCCAAGTTCCATAGTCTCCACACCCAGACGCCCAAGAACGCGGTGGGGGGCCTCCGGCCAACCAGCCACTCCACCACAGAGAGAGTCCAAACTTGTTTCTTTCCATTTCTTGCATAATCCTCAGAAATAAAAGTCATGCAGACTAAATTAGGCCTCTTGGTGTCACCAGTGCAACCCAAATGTTTTCAGTGGGGTTTCACAAATATAACTGACGGGAACTTAGGAAACAACTTGTTTGATGTTGCACGAGATAGTATAGCTCTCTTAGCTATGTTGGATGTGCAGAGCTAATAAGAGTAGTAACTAAATAAAAAGTTTCTAGTGTTTTTATTAAAGTCAACTGATATGATTTTGAATACATACAGAGAGCAGATCTCTGTAGATGGAAGATTCCATTTTTTACATAATCATTTTATTTTTATTACTGAAAGTTCATAGTGTGCCTAAAAACATTAGTAGCCACTATTTTGTTTTTTTAATTTCATTTCTACTCATCTGACTTTATACCTTTTGGAATGTGTTTATTTTTATATAGCTATCATAAACAAATAACATAAATAATAACATAAACCACATGCCTAAAGAAGATTCAAATCACATTACTTAGAAATAGCTATCTTAACAGGAAGTATAGCTTCAGAAATTGTGTTTAGGGGAATTGCAATTTTGAAGTACACATGTCTGAAATGGAAGGGTGCTAGATATCTATTTTACTGCAGTTAGTGAATACATTGTAGTTGTGTAGGATGACTTTAGAAACCGTTTTTAATCTATCAGACAATATGTCAATAAAATCATTGCAAAACAGACAACTGTTTCTTTAAAGGATCTTCTGTGCAGTAAGCACTCTCTTCTTCCATATATGTCTGTCTATTTCATCTATTTTTGGAGTGCAAGTTCTTTGGGACAGAAACTGTGCCTCCTTTTATACAATGTCTAGCATGTTTGTGCAGAAATGCCTAATAAATAGTAATAATAGACTTGTTTAAGCATATATTCCTCCAAGTTTTTATACATTTCCAACCTTTCTTTAATTGTATGTCCTTCTTCCAAAGGGCAAGATGGGGGAGTTGAATCATCTGTTAAATGAAGTTAAGTCAATGCAAGAAAAAGCTGTTTCTTTTCAGCAAGAAAGAGACCAAGTCATGTTAGCACTCAAACAGAAACAAATGGAGAGCAGTGCCCTACAGAATGAGGTATGACATTAAACAAGACTAAAGCACAAAAAGGGTGAGTGAATAAGAAAAATCAGAGAATTTACCTTGCCTTAAGAATGATCTTTGATAAGTACCAAAAAAGGCATCTAAAATGTATATCTATGCAATATAATTAGGGCTGTCCATTAATTGAACTTAACTCAAGTGATTAACACAAAACCCAGTTGGGGATTGATCCTGCTTTGACCAGGGGATTGGACTAGATGACCTCCTAAGGTCCCTTCCAACCTTGATATTCTATGTTTCTATGAAAACAAATTAACTAAATTTAAAAAAGTCGTGATTAAGAGCCGTATTAATCATACTGTTAAACAATAATAGAATACCAATTTAAATTTATTATAAATATTTTGGAAGTATTTCAACATTTTCAAATACACTGATTTCAATTACAACACAGAATACAAAGTGTACAGTGCTCACTTTATATTAATATTTTTGATTACAAATATTTGCTCTCTTAAAAAAACCCCCAAAAGATAGTATTTTTCAGTTTACCTCATTCAAGTACTGTAGGGCAATCTCTTTATCGTGAAAGTGCAACGTACAAATGTAGAATTTTTTTTACGTAACTGCACTCAAAAACAAAACAATGTAAAACTTTAGAGCCTACAAGTCCACTCAGTCCTCCTACTTGTTCAGCTAATTGCTAAGGCAGACAAGTTTGTTTACATTACAGGAGATAATTCTGCCTGCTTCTTTCTTACAGTGTCACCTGAAAATGAGAACAGATGTTCGCATGGCACTGTTTTAGCCGACTTGCAAAGTATTTATGTGCCAGATATGCTAAACATTTGTGTTCCCCTTCATGTTTCAATCATCACTCCAGAGGCCCTGCTTTCATGCTGATAATGCTTATTGAAAAAAGAATACGTTCGTTAAATTTATGACTGAACACCTTGGGGGAGAATTTTGTCTCCTGCTCTGTGGTATCGCATTCCACCATATATTTCACGTTCTGGCAGTTTTGGATGATGACCCAACATATGTTGTTCGATTTTAAGTACACTTTCACTGCAGACTTGACAAAATGCAAAGAAAATACCAATATGAGATTTCTAAAGATAGCTACAGCACTTGACCCAAGGTTTAAGAATCTGAAGTGCCTTCCAAAATCTGAAAGGGACAAGGTGGGGAACATGCTGCCAGAAGTCTTAAAAGAGCAATGCTCTGATGTGGAAACTACAGAACCCGAATCACCAAAAATGAAAATCGGCCTTCTGTGGTGGCATCTGACTCTAATGATGAAAATGAAGGTGCATTGGTCCACACTGCTTTGGCTCGTTATGAAGCAGAACCGCCTGTTTTCACTTTCAGGTGACATTATAAATAAGAAGCGGGCAGCATTATCTCCCATAAATGTAAACAAACTTGTTCGTCTTAGCAATTGGCTGAACAAAAAGTAGGACTGAGTGAACTTGTAGGCTCTAAAGATTTATATTGTTTTGTTTTTGAGTGCAGTTACATAAAAAAAAAAAAATTCTACATGTGTACATTGCACTTTCACAATAAGAGATTGCACTACAGGTGAATTGAAAAATACTATTTTTTTTCACAATGCAAATGTTTATAATAAAAAATAATATAAAGTGAGCACTGTACAGTTTGTATTCTGTATTGTAATTGAAATCACTATATTTGAAAATGTAGAAAAACATCCAAACATATTTATAATTTAAATGGGTGTTCTATTGTTTAACAGTGTGATCAAAACTGCGACTAATCATGACTATTTTTTATCTCACTGTTAATTGCAATTATTTTTTAATCCTTTGACAGCCTTAAATGTAAATCAAAGGAAATAATTTGATTTGCTTATGGTATCATGCACAAAGAAGTATGAGTCATTGAACATAAAATATATTTACCCAGGTGCAGCATTTACGTGATAAGGAGCAGCGTCTAAACCAGGAACTGGAGAGGTTGCGCAATCACCTCTTAGAAATGGAGGACTCCTATACACAGGAAGCTTTAGCTGCGGAGGACCGAGAGACCAAGCTAAGAAAGAAGGTCATGGTTTTGGAGGAAAAACTAGTATCCTCTTCTACTGCAGTGGAACATGCCAGGTAATATTTGCCTCCATCCAGCATTAGCATTTCATTGAGTAGTTGTAGTATTCTAGAGTGATGGTGATGTGATTTTTTTATTAGCTTTAAAGAGTGTAGATGTGCTAAGCACTTAGTAAAATCAAGACATGGAATATTGATATTCTTCAAGTGCTTGTTCATGTCCATCCCAATCAGGTGTGTGCGCGCTGCGTACATGACAGCTGGAAGATTTTTTCCCTAGCAACATCTGTAGGGTTGGCCTGGGCCCTGCCGACCCGCCACCCCCCCAGTTCCTTTTTCCTGCCAGTGACGGCTAGCTTCTGCAAGCGCCTTTAGCAGTGTCCCATTGTATTTTGCTTATAGTTAATAGTTTTCGTCTTAAGTTAGTAGTAGTAGCTGCAGCAGCAGCAGCGTTAATAGGTTAAGTTTTCATTGTGGGGCCTCTCTGCCCCCCATCCCCACTTCTCCCCCGCCACTGGGGCATGCCTTGGTTTCCGGGGGTTCAAACTCTGTTAAGTTTGCGGAAAGTTGATGCGAAAAAGTGACCCACACACTTCTTGTTTGAAGTGCCTTGGCGAGAGTCACCAAAAGGACAAGTGCCGCATTTGTAAAGGGTTTCAGCTGAGGACCCTTAAGGATTGCAAGCAGAGACTCAGACTTATTCTCATGGAGGCAGCCCTCCGCCTGCAATCCAACCCTGGGTTGGCGGAGCCCATGCCAAGCACCGCTGCCTCCGTGTGCAGCGCAACAGCGCCGATGGCGCATGAGTCAGTTCCTAGAAAGGAGACTAAGGACTCCCAGCACTGACACGTCACCGAACATAAGACTTCTGGTACGTGCTGATCTGTATCCCCGGTGCCCCAGAAGACAGAGAGGCAGGAGGGAGGGCACTCTTCCCCTCCTAAGCCTAAAGAGACAGCAGCAGGGAGACCTCAGCCCACCCAGCCTACTTCGGGCCTGGCAGCTCCCAAGGGCTCGTCAATTCCTGCGCCAAAAGGGGTCCAGTCAAGTCCATCCCACTACCGCTCTCCAGACCGTCATGGCCGGGACATTCAACTCCCCTCCACTCCGGAGACTTCTGATCTGGCACAGGACCTTATTCGCCTGATGGCTCCGTCTTCTCCAAGGAGGGACAAGGCACTGCTGGTAGCCAGTCCGCCTCTTCCATCTAGGGGAAAGCCAGCGATGATGTCACGCCGCTCCCCATCTCTGGTACGCCATTCCCTGGCACTGGCCGCCCACATGGGGGAACCGTATCAATCCCCAGAGGCTCAGCACTGCTCTTCAGCATTACTCAGTACCGCTCCTCCATGGTCGTCTTTTTTGGAGACCTCGGAGTCCAAGGTGGAATCCTATCGTTCGGATAGGTCCAGCGGCAGGAGGTCTAGATCTAGGCGACACCGCCAGCCTCCTCAGTCACCATGGCCACCTCTACGGAAACCACCAACTCAGTGGCCCTTTTGAACTCCCTGGGCTTACCATCAGGCCCAGGGTCAGAACCAGGCGTCAAAATCCAGATCAGTGTTGATCGTGTCAGCATCCATTGCCCCTCTCCAACAACTGGCACGAGGTCCATCTCCGGTGATGACTCCTGCGCCACCGTCTGCCACTTTGAGCTAGTCACCAGCAGCCTTGGCACGCCAGCCCCACAAGTACCGCGACCCTCTTGGCACCGCGAGCGATGACCAGGGCCATGGGCTGTGTTTTCATCCTCCCCAGATGAGGCTGTTGTGGGCATGTCAACGGCCCCAGCCTTGGAGGATAGTAGGGTCCTGCCACAGTTGTTGCGCAGGGCGGCCCAGAACCTGGGGATCCAGGCAGAGGAAGTGGTAGAGGATTCCGATCCCATGGTGGACATCCTCACCCCCTCTGGACCTTTGCGTATCGTGCTGCCACTTATTAAAACTATAAGTGAACCCATGAAAACTTTGTGGCAGACCCCGGCCTCCTTGCCCCCGACACCAGGGAGGAATGAAAGATGCTATTTTGTTCTCTCAAAGAGGTACAAGTACTTGCATGCTCATCCTCCACCCGATTCTCTGGTGGTGGATGCTGTGAACCAAAGAGTGCCAGGGTTCCAGGGGCCCTCTCCTAAAAACCAGGAAGCCAAAAAGCTTGACTTATTCAAGTATACTCCCACGGGTGGTTTGCAGCTCCTGATTGAAAACCAACAGGCCATCATTCGTAGATATTCCTTTAATACCTGTGAAGTGATGGCCAAGTTTGCCAAGCTGTTACCACCAGACTTCCAATCTGAATTTAATGCCTTGATGGACGAAGGCAAACTCATTTCTAGGGCCTCCTTGCAGGCGGCTCTTTATGGCACGGATGCAGCCGCCTGTACAATGGCTCCACGTCTCTGGACTACCTCACAAAGTCCAACAGACCATCCAGACTACCCTTTTGAAGGTCAGGCATTGTTTTCTGAAAAGACAGAAGACTGGACAGTTTAAAAGACTCAAGGGCTACCATCAAGTCCCTGGGTATACACAACATAGGCATTTCAGGCCACAACCTCCTCTGCGGTTTTACTAACAAAACCAACAAGACTGTTCCTGGAGGAGAAATAGGAGTGGCAGGAAGAGGCCGCACCCGTCCTCAGGCCAGGGCTCTGGCCAGACCAAGCCTTCTGTGGGCCAGAAACAAGCCTTCTGAAGGCACACAAGAGGACGGCATACCAGATCAAGAGCTGGATCTACCCCGCCTTACCTTTTCGTCCCAACTATCCCCTTTCTACCGTGCATGGTCCCATATCACTTTGGACCGCTGGGTGCTCTGCACAATAGAGAGGGGATACTCCATCCAATTCTGTGCCCTCCCGCCCTTCCACCCCCTCTTCCCTGTCCTCCTTCAGGGACCCCTCTCACGAGCAGCTCCTTTCGGTAGGGGCAGTGGAAGAGGTTCCTCGGGATCAGAAGGGCAAGGGCTTCTATTCCCGGTATTTCCTAATACCGAAAGCCAAAGGAGGGCTCAGGCCCATCTTAGATCTGTGAGAACTCAACAAGTTCATGAAGAAACTTAAATTCCGCATGGTCTCTTTGGCCTCCATCATCCCTTCACTGGATCCAGGAGACTGGTGTGCCGCCTTTGACTTAAAGGACACTTACTTTTACATAGCGAAAACTCCGTCCTGCAGAAAATACCTCGGGTTTGTGGTGAACACCACCCAGTACCAGTTCAGTCTTCCTGTTCGGCCTGTCAGCGGCACCTCTCATATTCACCAAGTGCTTGGCAGTTGTGGCTGTGTTCCTGCGCAGGCGACGGGTACAGGTGTTCCCATACCTCGACGACTGGCTAATCAAGGGCTCAAGTAGAGATGCAAGTTGCCTTTGTAAGAGCATCTTCTGATGAACTCAGCCTACTACTGAACGAGGGGGAATCAAAGCTGTCCCCGGTTCAGAGGATAGAATTTGTTGGGGTGGTACTAGACTCAACACAGGCAAGGGCATTCCTTCCTGAAATGAGATTTCAAGCCCTCAGCAACATCATTCAGGGTCTAAGGCAGTTCCCCACCTACACAGCACGGAACTGCCTGAAATTTCTAGGACACATGGCTGCTTGTACCTACATAGTACAGCATTGCCAGACAGGCACCAGCAAACAGAGCTGTAAACAGGGGAGTTTGAGTGGGAATTCTGTTGGAGGAGGAGGTATTTTTATTTGGTTTTGTGTTTGTATTATTTGTGTGTGTAGAGGCTTGTAGGGGCTTTGTGCTGGGAGAAAAGCTGAGCCCTGATCAGGGGGCGGGGCTTCTCTGAGTAGGGGTCCTATAAAGGTAGCCAGCCAGTCAGGCAGCAGTGCAGACAGTTGCAGCGGCACAGGAGCCAGCAAACAGAGCTGTAAACAGGGGAGTTTGAGTGGGAGTTTGTAAGGGGAGTTGGTATTGCGGTGCTTGTTTGGGGTTTGTTTTTGCTGTGGGTGCTAGTGTTTTGGTGTGGTTTGTGTTTCCCAGATTAACAGGATTTAGGTGGGAAGGCTATGACAGACACAGAGGCAGCAGTGGGAGTGACCCAAGTAGTGGAAGACACAATGAAGATGACTGGATGTGGCAGCTGCGGTATGTACGTGATCCTGGAGCGGGGACCTGGAAAGAGTTTCGGCTACATGAAGTGCCGCCTGATAGAGCTGATGGAAGAAAAGATCTGAGGATTGGAGATGCAGGTGGAAAGTCTGATTGAGTTTAGAAGGGGGTTCGAGCGGATTATGGAGCAAAGACATGAGGCGGCTGAAGGGAACAGCTCAGGCTTGCAGATGGAAGCAGGATCAAAGAACTCTGAGGGGAGACTGCTGGGTGAAGAAAATGGACAGTGGAAGCATGTGACTAAGAGAACCAGGCAGAGGAAAAGATGGGCTAGTGAAGGAGAAACAGAGCTCAAGAAGAGGTTTGCAGAGTTGGAAAATGAAGAAGGGGCTCAGCAGGTGGTCAGTGAAGGTGGAAGGGCAAGGAAGAAGAGAAGAGTGGCTAGTCCTATAGGAAAAGGGGAAGAATCAATGGAGACTACAGCAAATACGAGTCCCAGGAGGATACAGGATGGGTTGAAGAGGATTACAAGGGAGAATAAGAATGGAAAAAACTTGCAGCCAGAGGGAACAGGGGATAGACTGGAGAATCGCACTGTCACCAGGAAAAAGCAGGTCTATGTGATTGGGGACTCCTTACTGAGAAGAATGGACAGGCCTGTAACCAGAGCTGATCCAGAGAATAGAAGGGTGTGCTGTCTTCCAGGTGCTAAAAAACAGGCTGTGGACCTGAGGTTGAAGAGGATCCTAAAGGGAGCAGGAAAGAATCCACTGATCGTCCTTCATGTGGGAACAAATAATACCGGTAGATTCTTGCTGGAACGTATCAAGGGAGACTGTGCCAGGCTGGGGAAGACGCTTAAGGAAATCGAGGCTCAGGTGATCTTCAGTGGGATTCTGCCTGTTCCTAGAGAAGGGCAACAAAGGTGTGACAGGATTATGACTATCAACAGATGGCTTAGACAGTGGTGCCAGGTTGCTTCAGGCTGGAGCATGTCCTGGGCTGCCTGGAGCAATGAGCCCACCTGCTCATTCCCTGCTGGCCATGTCTGGACCCGGAGCTCACAGCCAGAGTAGGAGGCTGCCCTGTAAGTCCCGTCTCTGGAGGTAGAGCTGGTGTGGGTTGGAAATTTGTCCCGTGGGCAGCTTCCCTGGTAGGGACCCCCATGGCTCAGTGCATGAGATCACCCCTACCCCTGATTGTCTGGGAACATGCATCGAGGGATGTGTGCCTGACGAGGCAGCCACAACAGGCAGGGTGATAGATAGATAGATAGATAGATATATGTGGATGTGGCCCACATAAGAGAGCTGCATTTGTGGACACAATGGTAAATAGTTGAGAACCGCTGCTTTAATACCTGTCATACTCTTGCTGTTAAAGTATGACTATCTTTGTACCAGATTCAGAGATGTAAAATTATCCCGTGATTGTCTTAAAACTCATATGTTAATGTAATCTAACATAAAAGAATGTCTGTCTTATTTTAAAAATATAAAAATTTGCTTTCCTGTCTAATTCCAGCTGACCAAACAAATAAACAAGTGGTCAGGGCTATGGATGGGTGTTCTTCCTGTCTGATATATTCCCATACCTTCTTGTTTTAAAATAAATTTGGAAAATGGGGATTAGTGTTCATGAACGATTAGTTTAATAAAAAGCAAGGGCGGAAACTGTGTCTAAATGTTGTTAAACTTAAAAATGCTTAGCTTAAGTACAAATTTTTGTGACCTCTTGTTTATAAACAAGTCTCTTGTACAATTTATTGTTTTGCTGTTACCTCAGTCATCACTATAAATTGTGTTAGCACAAAAACAGGGTCTTTGCTTTGCAAAAAATTTTCTGCTGCTTCTTTCTAGAACTGTTGGGAATGACTGAAAGAAGTTATGTGCCTGTCTTCATCAAAATGTTTTTCCAAATTTTTCATAGAAAACTTCAAATAGCCAGCTCTAGTTACTTTCCATAAATTCTAGTCCTAGCATAAAATGGGAGTAACACAGTAATGAATCAAATTGATAATCTTCTGGTTGTAATAAATAGAGGAATGTGACGTCAAATGGAGAATAAGGAACAAGATCAACTGAACTCTGTGACACTAATAACTCACATGAAATTTGATGGAAAGATACCCGTTGATTTCAGTGGGAAAGAGATCGGGCCTTTGAGACCAGAATGCTATTTCTGTGAAAATATCTTCAGTCATGAATAATAAAGGAAGAAAATAGATACAGTAGAACAGCAGTTTGCAAACTGTGGGTTGGGACCCCAAAGTGGGTCGGGACCCCGTTTTAATCAGGTCGCCAGGGCTGGCTTAGACTTGCTGGGGCCTGGGACCAAAGCCTGAGGCCCACTACCCAGGGCCAAAGCTGAGGCCCAACAGCTTCAGTACTGGGCAGCGGGGCTCAGGTTACAAGCCAGTCAACCACACATCTCATTTGGGTCCAGAAGTACACAACCAGGCAGCAGCAGAGACCAAAAAATGGTAGAGTACTGTGTTAAATGTAAACTACGACAGAATTGAGGGAAAGCAGTATTTTTCTTCTGCGTAGTAAATTTGCAAAGCTGTTATGAAGTCAGTGTTCAGTTGTAAACATTTGGAAGAACAACCGTAACATTTTGTTCAGAGTTACGAACATTTCAGAGTTATGAACAACCTCCATTCCTGAGGTGTTTGTAACTCTGAGGTTCTACTGTATTCAACAAGTAGTTGACGTGCTATACTACACTACATTCCCATTCATCTGAATGACCTGGGGGACATCCCAAACTTTTGGATAAATGGAAGTGCTATTAATTAATATGGAGAATGCACTCTGGATTCAGATGACTATCAGCTTATTGGATAGAGGGAATTCAGATAACTGGAATTTTATGGGGGTGTTTCTATGTATGTATATAAAAAAATATTTTCTTTTGATGAAGCCATCAAGCTAGTCTGCAGGTGGAATCCTTGCAAGAGCAGCTGAACCTAGTATCCAGGCAGAGAGATGAAACCTTGCTTCAGCTTACCATGTCACAGGATCAGGTGAAACAGTATGCACTGTCACTGGCCAACCTGCAGATGGTACTAGAGCAATTCCAGCAGGGTAAGTTGCATCAAAAATCTTGAAGAAAAGATTGCAATGAAAATTTTCAGTCAGTATAATAGGTGTGGTTTGGTGCATTGTTTATAATTTGGCTATCACCAATTGCCTTCAAGTAGATTTTAATTTCAAAATCTCTGTTTTACCTTTAATACACTTAGGGTGAAATTCTGGCCGCATTGAAGTCCATGGTGAAAATCCCATTGATTTCAGTGGGTTCAGAATTTCACTGTTAGCGGTGCTGTATTTGGATTTCCATACCTAAGGTTTGATGTTGTACATCACAACCTAGAGGATTAGAAAGTGTGAACTGATTGTGTGATTTTTTTTATTTATTTATTCCTCCCCTCCCCCTTTCTTTTTTAGAGGAGAAAGCCATGTATTCAGCGGAACTAGAAAAACACCAAAAACAGACTGCAGAATGGAAAAAAAAAGCTGAAAAGCTAGAAGAGAGGGTTGAGTCTTTACAGGTGGGCTGAAAAGATTTTTAAATTACTAGATTAAATAATCCTGATTGTTGAGTTTTAAATACGTTATTACACAGGAATATATTAGATAACACTGTTTATAAGTGATCAGTAGAATTTTTGACTAGTGGAAGGGAGGAGAAAAGGAGGGCAACCTAGCCAATAAGATGAAATTGTGCTGCTTATCCATTTTCTTCTGATGTTTACAGTCCAAGTATTTAAAATAACAGTGATTAAAACCTTTGAGTCTGAAATATTTTATTTTTGTCATCACAATAGATTATTGTGATAGTGACTTTCCTCTCCTTACAGGAAAGTTTAGAGGAAGCAAATGCTGCCTTGGATGCAGCATCAAGGTTGACTGAGCAGTTGGATCTCAAAGAGGAGCAAATTGAGGACCTTAGGAAACAAGGTAAACAAGTTGATTTTTTTAAAGGTGTGCAAAAAATTGAGGAGATGGTGTAGTACTCCTGAAAAGTTAGCAAAGGTGTGAACTAGTAACTTCTTTGAGTGTTGGTCCCTATGTGTATTTCACTCTGGGATACAAACATTCTCCATGTATCTGGGACTGGAAGAATCTTGTCCATTGGTCACACCTGCTCCCTTGCTCTCCTTGTGATTCAAACCACAGGTATAAGGGGCAGTGCAGACCAACCCACTCTCCAGTTCCTTCTTACTGCTACATGATCTGGGACGGACACTCCAGTATCCAGAACTGATCCTTTCTCTTCATTCTGTAAATATTCAAAATTACATAAAGTTTTGTGGGGTTTTATAGAGTTTCTGCTAGCTAGTATTAGTTAGCCATTAGTTAGAATCCCACCCCCAGCCCCCTGGTACTCTCCCAGCCTCACCAGTATAGGATTTAGATTATGTCCAGGATACCAGGCTTCAAAAACTGTGTCTCCTGTCCTTGCTCCTTTTCAATCAGTGACAACCAGCTAACGATTCCTTTATTTCCTCAAGGAAGCCCATATCTCCACTAAGTTCAGTATCTGCTAAAGCTAAAGACCCTTCGTCTGAGTGGTCTTATGAGAGATGGGGACATTCATAAGCATAAAAGCAGATGCCTTTGTAAATCCACTGCAAGAAGGAGGGATCCCTCCCTGGTCCTGTCAGAGTGGGGAGAGTCACTGGATCCAGGCCTCAGAAACTTAGGCCCTCCTAAGCCACATGACCATGATCAAAAGACACAAAGGAGCAGAGCTCCTTTGATACTGACCTCTGCACCAGTTCAGACACTGACAAAATCTAAGCACTGGGACTCTGTAAGGACCCAGAACCGTTGTTGTCCATGAAGAGCACTCAAAGGGAGATGCATTACCAGCAGTACTGCTGCACCCCTTTAATGATTCACCAAGCACTAAGACTCAAGCCATGCTGACTCCGACGGTGCTAGGTGATAAGACTCTATTATTCTCAAGGAGGGTAGAGACTTACACCGCTCTGGAGGATATCTTCCTTCTCCCAGGTCTTCAAACTCCCCTATTGTCTGGGCCATCCTGACTCGGGAGATGCTGACTTCAGGAGGAAGAAGCGTCTCTGAAAGAAGTTCACCATCCTGTTTGCTAGCTGCAGATTCAGAGGAACCGTCATCACCTCCACTGAGAGAGAGCAGCCCAGATAGGTGATTGAAAGTCTCTTGCAACCAGCCTCATCCACCCAACCTAGCACATCTTTCTCGGGAGCAGTAGTACCCTGTGCCTTTGGGACCTCCACAACCTACCTTTGATCCCTTCTATTGGCCCTACTGGTACCCAGAATCCATGCGAACAAGTAGGGAGTCATGTTACCCCTCTCCTCCAAGGGGTAAGTCAGAACCTCACCTGGAACCCATGGAAGAGGAAAAGGATGAGCTAGAATCATCAATACCAACAGTGAGATGAGATGGTCACTCAGACTTCACTGTTTCCTCCAGGTGTTCATAGAAAGTTCCAGGAGCTGCTATGGAGAGTGGCAGAGGAGTTCCAGATCTCCTTAAAAGAGATCCAGGACACAGCATAAATTTCTGGATATCCTACAATCCATGATATTCAGTTGAATAGTGCTCCTGATCAGTGAAGCCATACTGGAATCGGCAAGACCCATATGGTATATATGACATGTGCTCCTACCCCCAAGAGGGAGCAGAGTTCTTCACCCATCCTGCCCCAAGCTCCTTGGTTGTTCAGGCAGCCACTGAAAGATCCAGGCAGCATCACCCCTGCAGGATCACCCCTACAGATAAATGGGCCAAATGCTTAGACCTTTTCAGGTGGAAAGTATTTATATCTACTAGCCTCCAATTTGGAATATCAGACTACCAGGTTCTGCTGTTCAAGTATGACTTTATAAATTACTCAAAGTTTCTGGACTTCAAAGAGAAACTCCCTCAAGAAGACCAGGCTAAATTTCAAGTCCTTACAGATGAAGGCAAGTTGGTGGCCAGAACCTCTTTGCTTGTTGCAGCCGACATAGCATCAAGATAAATGGCAACTGCCATAGTGATGTGCTGTCAGTTATGGCTACATGCTTTGGGAGTCTCTAGAGAATTCAGAAATACCACAGAGGACTTGTGCTTTGACAAAACCAGCCTTTTCAATGAAAAGATGGATAACTCCTTGCACTTGTTAAAGGACCCCCAGGGCAGCCCTCTGCTCCCTATATATTCACCAATCCTGTAAAGATGATTTCATAAGCAGCCATATAAACATATGCCCTTTCCACACCCTTTTATTATTAGTGTTTATATGAGCCACCTTGCGAACAGCAAAAGGTGCAATGATCTAGATTCACTGCTCCTTCTACATCAGCTGCATCTACTCAACCTCACCCCCTGCTCAAAAAATATTTTTGACAGAACACTCAGGAGCTGTGAACTGATGTTGATGCCATATCCACCCAGTTCCAGTGTTCACTTTGGTGGTCACCTAGCCCGATTTTCCCCATAATTGGAGAATAACAACAGACGGCTGGGTAGTGGATATTATCCCTCCCAGCTATACCATTAAATTTCTCTCTCCAGGCCATTCAAAACCCTGTTCCCTATCTCTCTTCAGGGATCGCTATCACGAGGGGACTCTCCTGCAGGAGATTATTTCCCGTCATAGGAGAGAGACTATCGAGGGGATGCTACCTCGGCATCAGAGAAAAGGATTCTATTTGAAATATTTCGTGGTCCCCAAGAAGAAGGGAGGGTGGAGGCCTATTCTTGACCTACATCAACTCTGTGTTTGTATCTGTAAACAGAAATTTTGCATCATCACAATGACCTCAGTAATTCCATCCCTGATCAAAGACACATGGTTCATAGTTGTTGATGTGTAAGATGCTTATTTTTCATGTGGACATTCACCCTTCTCACAGAAGGTTCCTCAGATTTGTAGTGGGTCCCGACCACTACCTGTATAGAATGTTTCCATTTAGCTTGCAGCTGCACCCCAGGGTCTTTACAAATGTCTTTGCAGTCGTAGCAGCACAGCACAGTTGCAACAGCTCCACCATCTTCCCATACTTAGATAGCTGGCTTCTGAAAGGCAGGTTGTCATGGAGTCACTGGGCCAATGCTCTGGAACTACTCCATACGAAGCCAGTCAGGACTCTGGAGCAGCATGCCTCCTCTCTCTGAGCATACTGTTGCCAGGGCAAGAAGGTTATACAGCTTCAACTGTCCTGGGTCTGACTTTGGAGCATTCAGCATCCCCTTCCACACGGTGCGCTTCCCTCAGCGAGTCTGCCTGGACGGGGCTCCTGGGGAAGCCAGAGGGCCCTGCACCCCAACTCTTCAGTCAGCAGTGACCCTCAGCCAGCACGCAGAACGGAAGGGTTTATTAGTTGACAGGAAGACAGTGTAGAACAGAGCTTGCTATCACAGAATCAGTGACTTTCAGCGAAGTCCATCTTGGGGAGTCCTGGGCCAGACAGCCTGGACTCCCCCTCTTCCAGTCCCCCAAGCAGACTGCCAGCCTCCAGCTACTCGACCTCAGACATCCTCTTTGCTCCTCCTTGTCTTTGTCTCGCTTCCTGGGCAAAGAGTCACCTGGTTGCATCCCCTTCCTGGGTCTCGGGTTACGAAGGGCACCAGTCATAGCATATGTGCAGGCAGCTAGAGCAGCCTCACTTGCCCCAGAGGTCTCAGCCAAAGTCACTCACCCCTATTCCTACCACAAAGTATTGGTGCAGCACACAGAGAAACTGAGGCACACACAGTATTCATTCAAAACAGTAAAACTCATAGGCTCAATAGTAAGACTCACATACACCATAACAAGGGGAAATCCCCATTTTGTCACACAGGTGATGCCAGAAGTCCTGGCTTCAACTCCATTGCTGCTCTATATCTTAACATTCCTGGGTATCTGCCTGAATTTGGAAAAATTTACTCTGACCCCGGCACAGTCCATAGAACATAGAGAAGTAACTCTGGACTCGGTCAGGGCAAGGGCTTATTTTGTTACAGTCAGATTCCATGCCACAATTGATCTGATAGACCAAGTCATGTGCAACCCTCAGACATCAATTTGGGTATACCTCACTCTTCTAGAGCACATGGCATCATGTACTTATGTGATGTGATGCTGTTTGCCAGACTACAGTTCCGTTGCCTACAAGCTTAACTCTGAACAGTATATATACCCTCACGGAAGGCTTCGCTGCCATGGCGGAGAGTTCCTCAATGTGTATGCATAGAGCAACACAAAACAATAATTACAGATACTCTCCTGCTAGGCTGGGGAGTTCATAGAGATGATCACAGAGTACAAGGCACTTGAACACTTCGGGAAACTAGAATGCACATAAATTTCCTGGAACTAAAAGCAGTCTGAAGCCTGCATGGCACTCTTACCACTCATATGATCCTGATATATCCTGATAATGTCAGACAAAATTATGACAATGTTCTATGTAAACAAGCAGAGAGGGGCAAAATCCACCCACCATGCATAGAATCGGTCAACTTACGGAATTGGTGTATTGAGAAGCACATTATGCTGTCCTACTAGGTGCCCACAATTCACTGGCAGACAGCCTCACCAGACATTTTGCCACTGATCATGAATGGGGACTACATGACTCAGTGGTGAACAACATCTTTACTCAGAGGGGAACCCCTCCTTGAGATGTTTGCATCCCAGGTGAGCAGGAAGTGTGACACATTCTGTTCCAAGAGACTTCAGGGATGCAGCTCTGAAGGAAATGCTCTCCTGTTGTCTTGGACAGGCCACCTGAGGTATGCTTTCCTCCCATTCTGCTATTACCTCAGGTTCTGTGAAAGATCCGACAGGACAGAGCGCTAGTCATTCTCATTGCTCTCAAATGGCCCAGGCTATTGAAAGCTGTTCATTTTTTCATTCACCTGGTGACATCAAGGGTCTGATTAGAACCCTCCCACCAGTGATGAAACCAACCCCACAATGGGAACTCATCTTCATA